ACTAGAAAGAGCATCTACTTACGCAAAAAAGAGGTTTGCTAGAGCTTATTAGCTAATTATTTCTAGAATTATGGCGCTGTATGGCCAAATAAAAGAATTTGATGCGAATGATGAAATCATTCAAGATTACCTATAGAGGTTAAGCTTTTACCTAGAAGCAAACAACGTGACGATAGAAGCCAAAAAGAGAGCTGTTTTGTTAACAGTCATAGGGCCTCAACAATTTAGGCTACTAAAAGACTTATGCGCACCAGCCAGTCTAACTACCAAGAGCTTTAACGAGCTGAGCAAATTGCTAACAGACCACCATGCGCCTGTACCATCAAAGTTTCTATGTCGAGCTAGATTTGACAGTAGGACTCGTCAACCAAACGAGTCGATATCAGAATATGTTGCTGCTTTACGTCATTTAAGTAGATTCTGTGAATTTGGAGAAACGCTGTCTGACAGACTATGTGAAAAGTTTGTGACAGGTGTAAACAGCCCTGATATTCAAAGAAAGTTGCTGCTCGAGTCAGATCTAAAATTAGAAAAAGCAATACAACTCGCAACTTCAATCCAGCAGTCATCAGATGCGGCGAGATCTTTAGCACCTTCAGAGATCCATGCAGTAAACAGCAGGTTAGTCAATAAACACCAACCCCATCAGAGCATTTCAACTTATGCTAAACAGCCTGCACGTTTAAAGCCTAGATCTAAATCTAGTAATAATTATCAAAAATGTCATCGATGCAAAGGTCCCCATGCATCTCATCGGTGCAAGTTCAAGTCTGCAACTTGTTATAAGTGCAGTAAGCAAGGTCACATTGCCAAGGCCTGCTTTGCAAAGTCTTCGTCTGTTGCTAAATCTAGCCAGTCAAGACAGTACCGCAACCAAAAGCAGCACTATGTTAACTCTCACCAAGACTACCTAACCCAACCAATGAACCACTCTACCTGTGAAAATGCTCAAACTGATTTGCAGCCGGATTTCAACCTGTTCTCTGTGAAATCAATAAGTCATGCTCCCATCAATGTACAAGTTAATATCAACGGTAAGAGCATCAGCTTCCAACTTGACACTGGAGCATCTCTAACAGTCATAACAAAGAAAGATTTTGACGCTGTCAAAGGAGAATCAGTGCCTCTACAGCCATGTCACAAGTGTCTAACAACATACACTGGTGACAATGTTCCGGTAATAGGAGAGTGTATGGTTCATGTAAGTTATAATGGTCAAAGTGTTAAACTTCCTCTTCTTGTGGTTGAAGGAAATGGACCGCCATTACTAGGTAGGAACTGGTTAAGTGATCTTAAGTTAAATTGGGAGAGTATTTGTTCATTGAAGAATGTAAAAGAATCTAGTCTTACTTCACTAGATAAAGTTATATCTGAAAATAAATGTGTTTTTGGTAATTCAGGTTTACTAAATGATAGAACAGTGAAGTTAAGCATTAAAGATACAAATCCAAGATACTGCAAAGCTAGAGTTCCACCTTATGCAATGAGGAATAAAATTGAAAATGAGCTAAGTAGATTGGAATCTAATGGCATTATAAAGAAGGTAGACTATTCCGATTGGGCAACGCCCATTGTGCCAGTGTTAAAGAAGGATGGTTCTATAAGAATTTGTGGAGATTATAAAACTACACTGAATAAGCAAATAGAGCTAAATAGGTACCCTATACCTAACATTGAGGAAATTTCTTTGAATTTGGCAGGAGGAGACAAATTCACTGAATTAGACTTTAGTCATGCTTACACTCAACTAGAACTGCATCCAGATTCAAAAGTCTATACGACAATAAACACACATAAAGGACTCTACCAATATGAAAGACTATGTTTTGGCATATCATCCAGCCCTGGAATTTTCCAAGCTGTCATGGACAGTATTTTTAAGGATATTCCAAATGTTTGTGTGTACTTTGACAATGTGTACATAACGGGTAAGAATGACACTGAACATCTTAAAACACTTGATAAAGTATTGAAAATTGTTGGCGAAAAAGGTTTAAAGATAAACAAAGATAAATGTCAATTCATGTTGACAGAAATTAGTTTTCTTGGTTATATATTGAGCAAACAAGGCATCAGACCTCAACCTGAGAAAACAAAAGCCATTAAAGAAGCACCCAAACCTGAAAATACCCAACAACTAAGAGCTTTTTTGGGCTTGATAAATTACTATGCAAAGTTCATAGGAAATCTGTCTGGTAAACTATCACCACTGTACAAGCTGCTACAGAAAAATGCAACTTGGCACTGGGGTAAACAACAAGATACTGCTTTTAATACAGCAAAAGAGGCTTTGTCTGCTGACACCTTACTAACTCACTATGACCCAGGGAAAAGACTTATATTGACATGTGATGCTTCACCAGATGGTGTAGGAGCAGTCTTGTCCCACATGGATGAGAAGGGTGACAGACCCATTGCTTTTGCCAGTAGATCTTTGAACCAGGCTGAGAAAAATTATTCTCAGTTAGATAGGGAAGGCTTAGGCATCATTTTTGGTGTTAAGAAATTTCATAAGTTTCTGTTTGGTAGGAAGTTCACCATCTTTACAGATCATAAACCATTGCTAGGTTTATTTGGAGAAAACAAAACCCTACCTGAGCATGCCTCACCAAGAATTCAAAGATGGGCTATCACACTAACTGCATACAATTATGAATTGAAATACAAACCTGGATCTGAGAATAGTGCAGATAGCCTTAGTAGATTACCTTTAAAAAACCAAAGCCTGAGCTATGTACCAGAAGATGTATTTGTTCTCTTCACTATCATGGATAACTCCAATATAAATGTGAATGATATTAAAAGAGAAACACAAAAAGATGAGTGCTTAATAAAAGTATATGAGTACTGTATGAATGGTTGGCCTGAAGAGTCTGTGAATGATGACTTAAGGCCATATAAAATAAGAAATTAAAACCCTTTGTGAAGATAATATAAAAGATGGAGAAGATGCAGTCCATTATCAGTCAGAGTTGCCTAAACAAAGTATTTGTAACTTAATAAATGATTATGGTGATATGGCAATTTCAAATGTTTTAAAGAAAATACATTAGTAAGAAGGAATGTGATCATCAAACAACTTTGCTAACATCATTAGCACTTACAGAAACTAAAAGGGTAACATCAAAAGAAAAGAAAAAGATTTTTGCCATTTAATACACCCACTTCAAATACTGGATCACAGTTGCAAAGTGATATTGTCCAGGATATTACTTTAAACAGTATTTTTGGTTACCAGGAAAGCACTATCAGATTACCTGAGAAAATTGATCAATCAAAGAAATCTATGTCAGTCAAGGATCTGAATAACAGCATAATACTTTCAGATGCCAATTCAAAAATAGTTCCATTAAATCATGACAACACATGCATTGAAAGAGAATTTGGTGTTAATGAGAATGTGTATCTAAGAAATTATGGGAAAAAGGAAAAATGGATACCAGGTCAAATTGTTCAATGTACAGGACCTGTGCCTGATAAAGTTAAAAATAACTTGTGCAGATAATAAGTGTGAATCTGCCAATCCCACCAAATCTGAACAGTTCACACCAACTCAGTTTGTTCCACAACCAAGTTCTGTTGATATGAGTGAACCAAGTTGTCTGGAGTCAGAAAATGTAAATTCTGGAGTTAATGATTTAAATCCTAGACCTCCTGAGATAGAGAATCCAGATGGTCAGAATCTTGAGTCACCAAATCAGAAGCCACTGAGAAGGTCAAGCAGGACAATCAAAGTCCCAAATAAGTTAGACCTATGATTTTAAAGGTCAAAAGGACTTTGACATCATTGTTTTGTATCTTGATTATGTTGTGGCATATTGTGCATTGTTTGTAAGGATGTAATCTACCATAGTGTTCATGTTACAATATAATTGGTGATGTTAGGATACTATCAATTGTTCTATTGAGAGATGTGTTATTGTGTTCTAAGGGTAAAGGGATGTAATAGATTGAAATAATTGTGAGGTCAAGGGAACTCACTCTTCTGTATTAGTTATATTTATAATATTGTTATCTTGAGTGATGTCCCTTGTGTACTTCCTTCGGCCCCCTCTGTGTGTTACGATCGTGGTAGTTAGACCCAATTAAACGTGTTATATACAACCACAGGCTTCTGTCGTCAATCTATTATAATACAGTGTCGGTTTTCTCTTTTGATCCTGGGCTTTGTTATGTAAAGAGCGTGATAAATGAAGTTGAACTATTGTTGTGATTAGTTGAAGACAGCAAGTCACACTAACTTTGTCTTTATGCTATTTCACGCTAAGTTAAAGTTAATATTTAAAAAACACGATTGAAACCAAGATGGTTCGAAAATCATATTAAATTCTATTAAATATTATATGTAAAAAAGAATTACAATTAAAACCTACAAACTTTATACAAAAATCTTGTATGTGTTATAAATATTACTATATGGATACAAACCACGCATATATAGCCTATCTAAAATGATTAACAAATTCCATGTAAATATACATTTGTGACTTTTTTTTCCTGTGACTTTTTTCTGTTTTTTTTCCTGTGTTTTTTTCCCCCTGTGACTTTTTTTTTCCTACAATCAAAATCCTAGCTACGCCACTGATATTGTGATATATTTTTGTCAAATATTATAGATAACTGAATAATAAAATAATAAGCCAAAACCAATGGCTAAAGATTTGCTATGTACTATCCTATACTATATGTATATATCAGAGGTCTCCAAACTTTTCAGTCCGAGGGCCGCATTGACTATCAAATTTCAGTTCGGGGACCAGTTTCTTCCAGGAATGTCTTTAATTTTTCTGGGTAAAGTTCCTCAGCCATCACCGAGAAACGTTTTTTCCGTGGACAAAAAGATCTCCGCGGGCCGGATGAGAGGACTCCGCGGGCCGTAGTTTGGAGACCCCTGCTATTTATAAACAGCAGCCATTTGTAAAATAGAGTAGCTTCCCCTGCTCCCGCTAAAAGTTTACAAAAAAAACAAACAAAACAAACAACTGAAACATGATGGCTGCTCAGTGCTCAAGTAAATGTCTAAATGAGCATGGTTGCATCTGATGAAAACATCGCCAGTCTTCATGTATTATTGAAAAGTTTTAATTCAATTGTTTAAAAACAGGTAGATTCTACATTTTACATACATTTACAGGTAATCCCTTAGTTTAGCGTCGGAAATTATCGGGTAATGTTTGTTGAGTCTCGGTAACTAGAGTTACGGTAAACCATGGTTTATTTGACCATTGAAATATAAATAAATCGAAAGTCGATTGTAGTAAATTGATGTTTTAATTTTTTAAGTTTAATCGACAAAAGGAAACAAGAATAAATATAATAGTAGATTTAGGTAAAACCTTAGTTTAGCGTCGGTTATTATTCCGGAATCGTATAGCAGTAAAAAACAGTAAAACAACGTTAAAGTCTGTCACACACTTCCGGAATTCACCGGAAGTACTGTCATGCCTAAAAAGAGGAACATACGCGCTACTTTACTAAGTCAAAAATAAATGATCGATACTAGGCATGACTGTTCCTACTTTTAGCTGACATGGGTAGGCATGTCTGCTTATATTGTTGTTGACAGTTTCGTAGATGATATAAATATGAGGCCGAAAATTCAAAATAAAAATACTGCTTGTAATACTGTTTGCCTTTAGAGTTTAAGTAAACAAATGTAATAAAATGCAGTAATATATTATAGGTTATCTAGATCTGGTTAGTGTAGATTCTAGATTCTCTAGTTAAGTACAAGATTTAGTAGCAATACGTGAAACCACTTAACTCCTACATAACCCACACTAAAACGGCTAATATACTTCATGGGTAATAACCACTGCTGTTCTTAGATCTCAGCCAATCTGGGTGGCATGTTATATAATTTAAGACCCTCATAATGCAGGGAAGTGAACAGACGATTGTAGGAAAAAAGTCAGAGGAAAAAAAAACAGAAAAAAAGTCACAGGAAAAAAAGAAGTCACAAATATATATTTGCATGGAATTTGTTAATACTTTTATGAATTATATATTCAGAGAGTGCAAATTAACTTAGGATTAATTAAATGTAATGTAATGTGTGTAGGTTGTATACACATGGTAATTTTAAAATTCATCTAAAAATATTTAGTATGAAGTATGTAGATTGTAATTATGTTAAACATAATATTAAAAACATTTAATAGAATGTTCCAATGTTCACATTTTTCATTAAATACTAACATTATATTACTGTGAAAAGTAAGTTTTTCTGACTTGCTGCCCTCAACTCATTGCAACAACAGTTATGATTAGTTAAACCACCTTTACTGTCCACATTTATCATGCTCATTACATAACAAAGCATAGGATCAAAACAAAAAGCCGACACGGTTCAAAGGCTGTCATTGACATAAAACGTCAATAACACAATATGTTCGGACAAGACCGACTGAGGAGAGGCCGATCAGAGAATAGCCTACGGCAAAACATATGAAAAACACAATGATGTGCCCAAATTTCACAATGATGTGCCTAAATTTCTTTTATAATTTTTTTTCTATAGTGTATTTAACTAAATACGTAACAAAAGTTGAGATTATTTTGTAAATTATCTTTAAGTATTTTTACTCACAATTGTTATAAGCCATAATGCTTATAAATAATATATGCTATAAAAAATACAACCCTCAACAATAAACACAAAATTTTATTATTTACAACAAATAAATCACAATTTTTCTGAAAAGATTACCATTGTGACTTTTTTCTGTGACTTTTTTCCTAGCAAAAACTGACTTTTTTTTCTGTGTTTTTTTTCCTGTGACTTTTTTCCGTTCACTGATCAGACACATTAATACTGATGTTCCACCCTCAAAATAAGAATTCTTAACCTCCATGATGGCCAGCCCCCACCTCGTTCTAGCTCACCATAAAACTTAATCTCTTTGTAGGTAACATGAATTACTGTTCTTAGAACCTAGCCCAGCAGAGATACTATGCTATGTAATTTATGACCATCATGGTTCAGCAGGGTTGAGACCAAAGAGGAGTCAGTACCACTGCCCTCCCCTGAAAATTTCTCACCTCCATGATACCCAGCCCCCCACAGGGATTACTGTCCTTAGATCTCAGCCCACCAGAGATAGCATCTCTTATATAATTTATGACCCTCTGGGCCCAGCAGGAAGAACAAAGGGGAAATCAGTCCCACTGCTCTCCCCTCAACATTTGTCATTTATAGCACACATGGCTTAACAGGGGAAAGCACTAATCCAAGTTATTATTCTAAAACATCTCACTTATAATGTTCCTAGCTTGATTTGTTTCTTTTGAAACAGTGGATTAAAAAAAAAATTAGCCTAATGATTAACCTAATAATAATAATGTGGTTATTTGTTGTTTTGGCTATGATCTAGATTCTACTTCTAGGCTACATAAACTTAATAGTTAATAATAGTAGACTAATTACTAGATATGCATCTGAATTTGAACTCAGTCCAGTATCAGATACATATTACTGTAAAAAGACACACAGTAGGTAGGCCTTAGTAATTTTTAAAGCCTTCTACTACAATAATATCAGGCATTACTGTTCTTAGATCTCAGCACACCAGAGATAGCATCTCTTATATAATTTATGACCCTCATGGCCCAGCAGGAAGAACAAAGGGGAAATCAGTCCCACTGCTCTCCCCTCAAATTTCTCACATCCATGTCATGTTATGTCATTTATAGCACACATGGCTTAACAGGGAAAAGCACTAATCCAAGTTATTATTCTAAAACATCTCACTTATAATGTTCCTAGCTTGATTTGTTTCTTTTGAAACAGTGGATTAAAAAAAAAAAGTAGCCTAATGAATCTAATAATAATAATGTGGTTATTTGTTGTTTTAGCTGTGATCTAGATTCTACTACCAGGCTACATAAACTTAATAGTTAATAATATTATATATGCATCTGAATTTAATTAAACTCAGTCCAGTATCAGATACATATTACTGTAAAAAGACACAAAGTAGGTAGGCCGTAGTAATTTATTAAAGCCTTCTACTACAATAATATCAACTAAATGCTTGTATAAACTTTTTAAAATTTAATTTAAGTAGCAGATTCTATATCTAAGTCTAGTCATACAATCTATTTCAATTTCTAACTAATTTCGTTTGCTAAATAAACGATTAGATTATAGAGCAAGATTTTAGATCTTAGAGACAGTTAAATGCTTTATTATTTTATTATGACTACTTTTGATTTATTATGGGTGCATTTTGAATCCAATATAGATCTAAATTTTATAATTAAATTTAATTAAATAAGTAGATTCTAGATTCTATGTCTACCCAGTGGAGCCAGTCACCCTAAATCTAGATCTGTGGTTTGAATTTTGTTTAGGCCATGTTTAGAGTTAGAGCTTGATTCTAGATCTAAATATTAAATCACTGTTATTACAATTAAATCTTATTCTTCTTATTATTACTTTTGACTTTATCTTTTACTATTAGTATTTGTGAAGGCCGAGCATATTTGTTTTAGTAACGGTTATCTTTTATAATTAAAATGAAGTTTATTATTTTACTGTCCTTACCTGAAACAAAGTGTCGAGAACAGATTCGCATGTTATTTGCCGCTCCTTCACTCACATCGCTGCGATAATTATTGGCTAAAATGTTCTGTTAAATGTCGATCTCTGACACCTTGGTGTAATATAGCCCTTAATAGTCATAATAAAGGAACCCCTTTAGGTCTGCCACTTTGAGTATCACAACCTTTTATCACCATTTTGAATGTAAACCTGTTCACTGCGTGATGTGATGTCATATGCAAGGACTCTCTTAGGCCTATGGTTAAAAATTAAAAATTATGGTCAGGACATTGCCTGGGAGAATGTTTACATCGGTGTCCGATAATGGAATCTTCTTTAAAAAAGGGGTGTTAGGTTACTGATAGTTAACTAAATGCACACATGGCTGGCTAATGTCAATGCTAACCCTGTCCCTAACCCCTACCCTGGTCCTACCATACGCCTAACCCTAATTTCTAACCATAAAATTAGTCGAGATTACAATACTACTAACAACCCAACACCCCCTTTTTAAAGAATATTCCATTATCAGACACCGGTATCTATAATCATCCCATTGGCTTATGAAGTTATGGGACTATGACAGGGTGGTAGGCTAGGGTTTCTGTCACATTTCACATTACTGGCTTTGACTTTGGCCAATTTAAAAATAATTTTATGTATGTAAAACTCTAAAACTAAAATGGATAGTTACTATTTCATACCTTACTTTAAATATGTAGATGTATGTTTTTATGTAGGTAATAGAAATGAGTAGGCCTAATAGATCTACAATGTTTTATAAATAAGATCCGAAAATATTCAAATATACATATATTAGCCTAATAATAGTAATATTATTGATTACTAATTAATATTAATGCTTATTTAGTGACTCATAGCCCTTCTGGAAAATCTCATCAAGGACTATTAATTTAAAATTTAAAAAATGATAAAATAATAGGCCTATTAATAATTAATATTAGATTAATTTGCATTAATAATTTTGCAGGCTTGTTTTAGTTTGATGGTATGCTTTTTTTTAAAACAGTAGATTTTTACTCTTACTAATTATATAGAGAAAAACAATATGGTTTATAAAAAAAAAGTAGTCGCCCTTTCAATAATAAAGGCAAAAGACAAAGAAAACATGAATATATGATTCCCTACTGAGATTCAAACTCTGGGGATATTCGTTAACAGATGTGCACTGTGCCACCCAACCATGGTGTGCTAAGGTGTGAACACTGTTTTTAACTATTAATCTATCTATTCATAAACTTCTGATTGATAAAAGACACTTCAGATATTAAAACAAATGTTACCATAGCTCAATAAGGCCTGTTTGATCTTTTTTATGACTTAAAAAATTCTATGGTGTTATTGTTATATAATATAGTAAAGCTAAGACATAAATATTTATACATTTTTTTAAATGCAATCAATATATTTTCAAAAAGAGATTTTAATTTTGTTTTCTAATTCTAATGAAGATAAATTTTTTTTTCAGTTTTGGTGCAATAATTCATCAATCTAAAGCTATGCAAAACACAAAAGACACTAATGGTGTAGCTTGGGAGAGTTCATTTATGGTCAAACAGGAGTTTAGTGATGAAATCATTACATTTATGGACATTAAATCAGATGAAACATCAGCTATTTCAAGTTCAGAAGGAGTACAAACAAATATATCAACACTCTTTTCAAATTCTGAAGATATAAAGCAAAATGTATCAACACAATTTTCAACTGTTAAAGACAAATACTTGGAGGAAACAATGCCATTTTTAGCTTTAGAAGATAAAAATCTTGATAAAACAAAGCCTTTGTTTAATTTAGAAGAGATGAAACAAGATAACCCAACATCATTTTCATCTTCTGAAGACATGAAACCAAATATATCAACAGCATTTTCAATTTTTGAAGATATAAAACCTGAGATATTAACAATTTCATCTTTGGAGAGTGAACAACAAAATGGTTTCAAAGCGCAGCAACAACTTTTTCCCCCATTGGATTCAACTGATTTTAAAGAAAATTTAGCAGTTTTAAAATCAGATCTTCAAAATGAATTAAAAGAACTTAAGTTATTGCATTCAAAATTGAATGATAATCTCCCAACAGAATATCAGATCATTGATAAGGGACTGAAGACATACAAGTGTGATATGTGTTGTCAAAGATTTTTCCATTTTGATCATGTTAAACAACACATAAACTTTCACACAAGGGTGAATCCATATGGTCATGATTTTCATCAGCAAGAAGTTGTTATGATCAGTCAGGGTGAACAGATTAACAAAATAAACCTAGAACAGGTATACAATAAGTCTAGTTTGTCTAAAAAGTTCACTTCAGAGTCTAGTTTATCCACACACACAAATATTCATTCCGGAATTAAGCCATATGAATGCTATGTTTGTCATAAAAAGTTTGCTAAGAAGAGTAATTTATCTAGACATAAAATAACTATTCATTCTAGTCACAAGCCACATGAATATGATAAAAATATTCATTTACCAGAGAGACCATATGAATGTGATGTGTGTCATAAAAAATTTAGTCAGAAAGATAATTTATCTACACATAAAAATATTCATTTACCAGAGAGACCATATGAATGTGATGTGTGTCACAAAAAATTTAATCATAAAAGTAATTTATCTACACATAAAAATATTCATTTACCAGAGAGACCATATGAATGTGATGTGTGTCATAAAAAATTTAGTGATAAACGTTATTTATCAGAACATAAAAATATTCATTTACCAGAGAGACCATATGAATGTGATGTGTGTCAGAAAAAATTTAATTGTAAACGTCATTTATCTACACATTACAAGATTCATTCAGGAGATAGACCTTATGAATGTGATGTGTGTCATAAAAAATTTAATCATAAAGCTCATTTATCTAGACATAAAAATATTCATTTACCAGAGAGACCATATGAATGTGATGTGTGTCAGAAAAAATTTAATTGTAAAAGTAATTTATCTGCACATAAAAATATTCATTTACCAGAGAGACCATATGAATGTGATGTGTGTCATAAAAAATTTAGTGATAAACGTTATTTATCACAACATAAAAATATTCATTTACCAGAGAGACCATATGAATGTGATGTGTGTCAGAAATTTTTTTATTGTAAACGTCATTTATCTACACATAAAAAGGTTCATTCAGGAGATAGACCTTATGAATGTGATGTGTGTCATAAAAAATATATTCATAAAGTTCATTTATCTAGACATAAAAATATTCATTTACCAGAGAGACCATATGAATGTGATGTGTGTCAGAAAAAATTTAATTGTAAACGTCATTTATCTGCACATAAAAATATTCATTTACCAGAGAGACCATATGAATGTGATGTGTGTCACAAAAAATTTAACCATTAATTTCATTTATCTAGACATAAAAATATTCATTTACCAGAGAACATATGAATGTGACATTTGTCATAAAAAGTTTGCTCATAAGTTTAATTTATCCACACACACAAAATTTCGCTTAATCCACCTGAATGTGTTGTTGGTCATTAAATTCTTTTTCACAAGGATCTTTAATTATCTATATATAAAATTATTGCTTTTGTACTAATACAACATTGTGGAAGCTGAAAACACACCATTAATGTTTATCATACATGCAATAATACTCTTCATATAGTATTATTTGTCATACAAAGTATTACTAATGATTGATATGTTATCTTGACATTTCATTTTGAAGATAAGTTAAATGAATGTATTATTTGTAACTTATGTTTTTAAAATGTGTGCATATATGTTGTAAACTTGAAATTCAAAATAAAAAGAGTTAATTAAAAATTATTTAATGTGATAATTTTTAAATATTCACACAAAGGAAGAAACACTTCATGGAAAGAATGGATGTCATGAGTCTCCATAGCACATTTATTATCTTGTACTAGTTGTTATTGCTAGCTTTTTTCAGGATTTTTGGAAAAAATTATGCCTAAATCAAAATCCTTACCCTTTACATTACCCATACATTAATACTAACCACTAATAAACACCATTTTAAATGTACAATTATAATTTGACTCATTGAAGTAATATTTACTCCAAATTTTTCTATATTGAATATTGCATTTTATGTAATTCTAAATTTAGTATAAATAATTATATAACCCATTAAGTTAATCATAATTATGATAATTGAATCGAGCAAGTTTTAATTAATGTAGCTGAAAATGATTACATTTTTAAGACAGAAGGTACAATTTATTATTATGATTATTATTATTATTATTGACTTTTAATTATCTTTTTTTTTTTAAAGACATGACATAATAAATATTTTCAACTATTAATTAATCAGAAAGCGTTTATTCCGTTTTAATAGGCCTACACTACTATTTTATTAGATTCTCAACAACAAGCAGGCAGTGTTTCTTCCAGACTTTTTTCTCCGGGGGGGGGGGGCACTTGAAATTTTCGGGGGCGGTAGACTATTAAAAGTATATATAAATTATGTAAATTTCATTTCGTTCGGGGGGGGGGGCTTTCCCCCCACCCTCCCCCGAAGAGATGCCTGGAAGAAACTCTGCAAGCAGGGTTCGTACGCAGTCTGGAATTTAGAAAACTGAATTTCAGACTTTAAAAAGTCTGGAACGTCGCTATCTTTTTGGCTGGATAAAAAAATGTCTGGGAATAGTCTTTAATTTCGTTTTGGAAGTAAAAAGTATTTTCCGACTTACAAAAAGTTTAGTTCAGTGGTTTTTACTTCACAATTTTTTTCCCGAGCAAAATTGCGCGGATAGAGAGTCTAGGCTTATCTAGATCTATCATTTAGGTCAATTTTCTTTTTGCGCCGTCCGTACCTAGTTGTGATGACGTCAGACGCTAATCGTTTTGAACGTGCGGGCTACAGCTATTGTAATGGTAGCACATTGTTGTAGAGGGGTGGGTAGGGAAAGTTTTCCACCGCGTTTTATAGACCGCTGTTCCCACTAAAATTGTACGCCAATGTTTTCCTTCCGCCGATGATCGATCCATTCTCTATAATGTCAAAAATAAGAGGGAAAAGCAAATTTATTTCAAAGATTATTTGTACATGATACCGACAAGTACATTTTTCATATTTTATTCATTCTTGCTTATTTTTTATACACGCGTCTTCATAATAAACCAAACCATCCCACCACGCTTCTCTTGGTCGGTTTGACAATGAGGCCTATGATGTGTTAACGACACGTGACCACGCGAGCACAGTTGTGTTGAGCCTGTTTATGCTAATGCTACGGCACCAGTGGCGTGCAGACCTATGTAGCTGCACGGGGCAAATTCAAGGGGAAGATGCCCCCATAAATACTATATATATATATATATATATATATATATATATATATATATATATATATAGCTTAGTTACAAAAAAAACATACTTTGTGTTGAACGTTAGTATATATAGAAAAGCTTTTTTTTTTTAAAAAAAATTGTACTTATCTTAATTAAGATAAAAACGTTGACTACAGCCAGCTATATCCCAAAGAATGAATGGGTGGAGCTTCGGGGCGGGGAGACTATTGCGGGACGTGTCGTGGTGTGAGGGGGAGGGGAGGCTATAATATACTACAAAAAAGTCTCATCCGGTTTTGCATTACCGCCCGGGACCGCGGTGACAAAAACGTCCGTGTCTACAATTAGGGCGTCATATACGCCTTTATTTATGGGTTGCTCCTCTCTTGGCATGTTTAGGAATTCTTATAGTCTCACTAATACAGGTGAGAGTGTGCATTGAACTAGAGATGCTTCAGATTTTTTCGCTAAACCACTTGGTCAAAACGTCAACTTTTTAAACTATCTGAACCTTGAATATTACATAAGTGTACCTTGGTTGGTTAAAGCTGCCAGCCCTACCACACCTTAATACTTAAAAAAAAAACACTTCTACATCGGACTGTGTTAAAAAAATCCACTATGCTATGTCAGACCCTCCCTACAACTTGGACGTGTTTTCCCAAATTATACACCCAGGTTACGCCTGTCTAGTTCAGGTGAGGGATAATCCACTAACAGCTTTCATGGCCTAAAAACACACACCGCATCCCCACATTTCATTACATCAAAATGGGCTCAATAACTCTATAGATAGCTCTACTATAAACTGAAATAAAACTGGCTCATTGTGTGCCCCAATTACTTTAAAGAAAGCTCTACTCAGAATTAAAATTACTTTAACTTTAACACTACTTAAAGCATGCTCCTCCTATTTATAAAAATCAATATGGGCGCAATTATTCTGAAGGATATCATTACAATGTATCGAAAGCAATATGTTAATGCTTATTCTTGAGATTTTCGTTACAGTTACAGTGTATCAAAAACAATATGGGCATTCTTATTCTTAAGTATGCTTATATAATGCATGAAAATAAATATATACTAAAAGCTGGCGGGCCTAAATAAATTGTATATGTTAACTGACTTAAAAAAACAACTTTACAAATATATATATATATATATATATATATATATATATATATATATATATATATATATATATATATATATATATATATATATATATATATATAGCCTATGCGCGTGTGTTTATATTTATACATATACATGTTTAGAATCAGGCTGCTTCAAATCCAGATTTTTAAATTGTTCACAAGGCTTTAAAGATTTGTTTAAACTGTGTATAATTTACTATAATGGTAACAGATTTTTTCCTCTAATCCCAGGAGTTAAATTATACAACAAACTTAATGATGTAGGCTACAGATCTTGGGAAAAATAGAAAATGGTGTTAAAGCAGGAGGCCTATATATGTATATATATATATATAGGCCAGGGGCGTAGCGTGGGGGGGGGGGGGGGCGGGGGGGGTGCGGACCGCACCGGGTGACACCATTTAGGGGGGTGACACCAAGGCAAAAAATAGCAAAATATATAGAGAAAAACTCGAGGGGGGGGGGGGTGCAAATCGAAAGTTTGAGGGGAGGGGTGCAAATCGAAAACTTGAGGGGGGGGGGTGCAAATCGAAAGTTTGAGGGGGGGGGGGGGGGTGCAAATCGAAAATTTGAAAGTTTGTCCCTGGGAAGGGTCTCTATGCCTCTGGGGGGGTGACACCATTAAGTGCCGCACCGGGTGACACCCGACCTCGCTACGCCACTGATATAGGCCTATATATATATATATATATATATATATATATATATATATATATATATATATATATATAAGCTAGTTGCACACAATTTTTAAAATAATTAAAATGAAAAAAAAAATAACGAGGGGTCGTATTAAGGTATAAATGTTGAAAAATGATACCAAATTTATGTTTATAGGATAAACGGTTCAGTAGATATGACGGTTTTAGTGTAAAAATTGAGGGTACAACTAAGCCTATGGAAAATGAAAGCAAAAATCGGTCACGTCGAGAGTAGAGAAAAAGGCGAAAGGGAAATAACTCTGCGTAGGCACACAATTATAAAATTTTTAAATAAGTATTTTTAATGCATTTACAACTGCATATAGTATCTCTACTAAGATTATAATAAATATTTTAATTTAAAAGTGGTCTATTTAGAATTTTTAAAATAAAAATATACCACTGGATAGATACAATCATTTAACTGAAACGTCACAGTAATAGTAATAAACCGGGAGTGATCTCCCCTAAACTTTCTGGAATATTCTTATATAACTCTACGTGGGATGGCAACTCGGGATATAGACATGATTTTTAATTACTTAAACTTTTAAAAAAAAATCACAAAAAACGTTTTAATAACAAGCTTTTATTTAATAATGCACTAAAAAGTAGAAAAAAAATTATAGACTACTATTTAAATAACTATAAAGAAAAGCGTGGGTCACTTTAGTATCTATTGGATACCTTTACTAATGTTAAGGAAGACACCCACGCTTTTCTTTATAGATATTTAAATAGTAGTCTTTAATTTATTTTCTACTTTTTAGTGCATTATTACATAAAAGCTTGTCATTAAAACGTTTTTTATGAATTTTTTTTTCAGTACTTTACATGTTTTATTTACAATAGAGTTACATGACTTAAAGCCATTGCGCGCCTACTGAACGTGATGGCACAGCTATTGAACGTAATGACGCGTGTGGTGTGGTTGGATAGACATGCCTACTAATTCGGTCCAAATTTTAATTAATTCATAAAAAATTAATTAGGCATCCAATTAGGTCAAATTTAATTTCAGATTGCATTGTCTTCATGTCTTGACCCACGTGCCAAATGTGAATCGTATCTGTCAAGTAGAAGTGTCCGAATTTTCACTCCGGCGTTTCGATCTAGACTAACGACAGAGGAAGTGAGTTAAAGAAATCGGTACGTGCGTTATCTTTACCAGTGGTAGAGTAGCGCCGTAATACCCCCAACTCAAAGAAATGTCGTCATCCATACCCTGTAATAAAATTACCGCCTAATTAATGTGTCTAATCTTTCACGCGAAGCCCATTTACCCCTCCCCCTTAGAACGTCATATATAATAAATAAAATTTATATAGGAAATATATTATACTTTTTCCAGTGTCGGGCTCCCCCGCCCAGGATAATTTTATCCGCCTCTGCAAAAATTCAAGTGCCCTACCCCCAGAAAAATATCTAAAAATCACTGTCTGCGAGAGTGAGGTTTATCGGCTAAAAGTTGGAAACGAGGTCTAAATTATAGAAGTAGGCTCTGCCTTTAGTCTGTATGGTCAACAAATACGATCAGTGTTTCTTTCAGACTTTTCCCTCCCCTGAGTGGGGGGGGGGGGTACTTGAAATTTTCGGAGTGCGTGTGGAATAAATTTTCTAACCCCCCCCCCCCCCCCCCCCCTCCTTTCCCTGCAGACTTCATGTATGATGTGACAGTATTAAATTAATGCTATCAAGCTAAAGCCTTGACCTGAGGCACCCCCCCTCCCATGTATGATGTGACAGTATTAATGCTAACAACAAGCTGACACCGTGTCGTACACTAAAACAAGCTGACACCGTGTCGTACACTAAAACAAGCTGACACCGTGTCGTACACTAAACTATTGTTTTTTAAAAAAAAACTCTACATGGAAATAGTTTCTCCTACTCTTTTCCATTGCACTGACCGACGCCTCCATTTCTTTCTAATCCACACTGATAAGCATAGTCCAATCCAGAGTTTCTTCCAGACATCTCATCAAGGTGGGGGGGGGGGGGGGGGGGGCGCTTAAAACGTTTACGAGGTTAGGTGAGGACTGACACTGAACATTATTTTCTATATAAATGGAATAGTTTTTCTATTTTTTTCCCGTGAGGGAGGTGCGGTGGACATGTTCTGCCCCCCCCCCCCCCCACCTGTTCAAAAAGATGTCTAAAAGAAACACTGTCAATATATAATGTAATAAAGCGATTTGGAGGTGGGGTGGGATGGACGAAGAATTAGGAAGGTTGTGTAATTCAGAAAGTATAATGCCACACTTCAAAGAAAAAGTTATTTTAGTTATCATATTTCAAGGGATAATTTTTAAATTGGAACTGTAACTTGAACAATTGTAGTTGGCATTGTTCCAGTTTAACTCATACTTTAGGAACAAAAATTTTCGTTTCACGCAACAAAAACTGTAGATTGTATCCTGATGTGTGGCGTAATTTCGTGTGGAATGGTCAGACCTTGTGTGACTATAATTAACGTTAGCATATTTACAAGTTTTTTTTTGTCTGTCGTGCTTTTGTCTGTCGTCAAAGATCGAAACGGTCGAGCGAAATGTCGAGCACTTCTAACTGACAGATTCGTTTCAATGTCGGCGTGGATCAAGACTTGAAGACAATGCTATCTGACATCAAATTCGACTTAATTGGATGACTAATTAATTTTGGATGAATTAATTAAAATAAAATAAAAATAGTATAGATTGATTGGGTATCAGACTTGCAAATCGGATCAAGACTAAACTGTTACAGGAATAAAATAACAGAAAAGCTCCATGTAAACCAGAATATTTATTTTTAACTTTGAATAGAATGTCATATCAGGCCTAAATAAATTGTATATGTTAGCTGACTTTTAAATAATACTAGACTACCCGTTATCTAGTTAGATAGATAACTGTGGGTTTCGGGGGGGGGGGTCATCCATAAATGACATCACGTCTGCCAGCACTTATCATCCCAAAATAACCAGACCCCACATTCAAAAAGACGTTTTTTATATTTCGAAAACTCTACTAAACTCTACTTCACCTGCCCAGTGTCCCGCCAAGTCTCAGACATGTTTGAATTTAAAAAAAACAACGATTCCGGCCGAGTATGGCTCTGACCACACTATTCCTTCATATGCTGAAAACATAGAAACAGGCGAACTCTACTTCACCTGTCCTGTGCCCCGCGAGGTCCTGATAGTCAACCTTATCATTCACATGTAGTCCTTAAGAAAAGAAAAATTGAAAACATTGTTGTAAAAAGAAAATAAATCTTTTTACTATTACTAAATTCATTGTTCTAAACTTTTATAATTAATGTGGTTAATCTACCTATGAATATATTAATAAATTAATTAACGGCTTTAAATTAGTTTGTAATTAACAGTGTGTTTAAGAAAGAACAATATTTACCACCCAAAATCTTATTTTACAGCTCTACACATAATGCAGATTCTCCCCAATAACAAATCAGAAAAACAAACAAACAAAAAAATGAGTTGTCAAACGTCACTATTCAGACAAAGTTAAGCCATTATTCAAAAACTTTAAAATTAATGTGGTTAATCTACTTATGAATAAACCAATAAATTAATTAACGCCTTTAAATAAATGTGTGATTAACAGTCTCTCTGCAATCTAAAATTGTTCTCTACCTACATACTATTTTACAGCCCCCAATATTGAGCAGTTTCTTTACAGTACCAAAGCAGACAAACAAACAAATAAATATTCAAACATGTAAACAAACTTGAGTTTTAGTAGTATATATATATATATATATATATATATATATATATATATATATATATATATATATATATATATATATATATATCCTATGTGAGTGTATTTATAGGTGTAGGCCCTACATGTTTAGAATCAGACTGCTTTATCTCCAGGTTTTAAAATTGTTTACGACAAGGGTTTAACGGTTTGTTTTTCTGAACATTTCTATGCATACTTAATAATATTAAACTGTTGTGTACAATGGTAACAGATTTATTTTCTCTAATGCTCCAGAGTTAAATTGTACAACAAACATAATGGTGTAGACTACAGATCTGAGAAATCCGCATCACTGGCTAGAAGTGCTATGTTTAACTCGCACAAAAACCTCGGATCACCTCCCTTAAGGGTACACGAGTAATCCTCCATTTTCCATCCCGTCGCTTTGGTCAAAACGATGCAGTTCTCTTGCTTAGGGCTCCCCTTTGCCCAATCAAAAAACTGAACCTCCTCGCCCGTTCCGTAAGCCCATTTCTTATTGGTTCTTTTCCCGCCAATGTACACCTTCGTGACATCCGGAAACGTGTCGAGAAATGACGCAATGAACTTCAAACTCTCGGCGTGTCGGATCTCAGCTAGGTATGTAATTAAGAGGTCGCAAACCGCAACGGAAATGTTGTAATCAGCGTTGAAGACGGATGGCTTGGAGAGTAAATACACAGCATTTTTACTCATGGCAGAGAAATCGAATACGATATTAGCCGAGGTGGGTATTTTATAGGGGTCCTCATGGTCATCCTTGCCTGCTTCAACAGTTTCTAGAGCATTCTGTGCATCTGATTAGAAGATAAATTAACCAATAATGTCAATTTAAATACACTATTTTAAAAGAAACAAAGTTCCATGCATCAACAATATTAGATGTTAAAAATATTTACAGAAAGGCGTCAAAGTTTTGTTATCTTTAACGTTTCTATATGATGTGCTTGGTGAAATGGAAATATTGTGTAATAATAGTGAGGGATAGGGCGTCGATTGCTTTTTACCACGAAGCCTTGGTGGATTTTTAACAAAACGTTGTATAAATCAGTATAAAAACGAAAGGTGGAGTTAAAACAGTATATTTCCGGTGAAGTAATATTATACATACAAATATCTATCTATATATATACATAATTATCTTCTGGGAGACGCTAAAAAACAAGCTGTAAGCGCGCTCCCTACCACCCAATCTCTACATGGTCTGGTGAGCTGTGGTTCACGCTAAATGTTTACAGTCGTAGAGCCGGGTTTAGTGACGGTTACTAGGGGCAGATAATTTAGTTTGAAACGATTTTAAACTTAGGGGAAGTAACTAAGAGGAGGCAGTTTTCACGGGTGTGGGGTAGGGGTTGGGGAAAGGAGGGGGTATCGCCCTTAACGAGCTACTGATTGTGTTTTAAAGCAAATGTATTAAGTATTATAAAATATATATATTACTATTAATGGTACTGTCGAATTCACAAATTATGAATTACTGAAAAGTAGAAAATAAAACAACTAAATAGCGGTATATGATACGCCGCGGGTCGGCTCGTAAATATAAATACATAAGCGGCGAGATAGTTAGTCAGCCCGTCATCGCTATAGATTTGGGAACTAGTGTTTCTTCCAGGGGGGGGGGCGGACTGTTTACTAATTTTATATATATATATATATATATATATATATATATATATATATATATATATATATATATATATATATATGTTTACTAATTATATATATATATATATATATATATATATATATATATATATATATATATATATATATATATATATATATATATATGGCTCCGGAGTCTAATAGACCATTGGATGATTGCGCATTGGAAATCTAAGCACAAAGCCTGGGCCCTAAGTTGATAAGAGACAGATGTTGCACGTGTATCAAGCCACCTCTCTCCACACTGCTGAAGGACCCAAGTGACTAGTGACCGGACACATCATAGCTGTGGATCAATTATAAAACTTTCCTTACCCAGCACTGTGCAGCAGAAGACGAGAAGAAACGAGGCGGTGACTGCGAGCATCTTGACGTTTCTAACACACAAGGTCTCCTAGGCGGGTCCTCTTATAGACAGACACACACGACACGTGACCCGACATTTACGAAGGCGTGTCCTGAAACAACGGACACCCCCCGCCCATTCCCCACTCCCACCCTGACTCCATGCAGTGATAGTATTAAATTAATGATATTGAGATAAAGCCGTGACCGTGACTTGTTACTCTGACCAGTGGCGTAGCGAGGTCGGGTGTCACCCGGTGCGGCACTAGATGGTGTCACCCCCCCCCCCCACCCAGAGGCATAGCGACCCTTCTCGGGGACAAACTTTCAAATTTTCGATTTGCACCCCCCCCCCTCAAGTTTTTCTCTATATATTTTGCTATTTTTTGCCTTGGTGTCACATCCCTAAATGGTGTCACCCGGTGCAGTCCGCACCCCCCCCCCCCCCTTTGCTAAGACTCTGACTCTGACCCCTCCCCTATCTGCAGACTCCATGTATGATGTGTCAGTATTAAATTAATGCTATCAAGCTAAAGCCGTGACCTAAAACTCCCCCCACCCCTCCCATGTATGATGTGACAGTATTAATGCTAACAAGCTGACACCGTGTCGTACACTAAACTATTGTTTTTTTTTAAAAAAAAACTCTACATGGAAATAGTTTCTCCTATTCTTTTCCATTGCACTGACCGACGCCTCCATTTCTTTCTAATCCACACTGATAAGCATAGTCCAATCCAGAGTTTCTTCCAGACATCTTTTCGAGGGGGGGGGAGGGTATGGGGCTCATCCCCCCTCCAAAGAAAGTCTACTGCCACCCCCACCCCACCCGAATGAAATGGATTTTATATAGAAAACATATTTTTATCAGTGTCTGCCCCCTTCCCCGAAAAATGTTGACCCCCCCCCCGAAAATATCTAGCCCCCCCCCCCCCCCGAGAAAAAAGGCTGAAAGAAACACTGGTCCAAACTCAAATGGATAATTTTCATTTTATTTTAACCTCTCTGGTCGACCGTAGATGACGTCACATACGTCTGCACTATTAACTACCAACCCGTAAGTCTCGAGTTCGAATCCGGGCTTCCGTTTGCAGAACGCCCCTGAATCCACCCAACTTTAGCGGGTACTTAACGCACGGTAGGGAAAGTAAGGCGGCTGGGCATAGTGCTGACCACACTATTCCTTCTTATGCCGAGGTTACAGAAACAGGTGAACTCTACTTTATTCACCCTCCATGGGCTGTCAAGCTCGATAAGGGAACTTACCTAAAGTAAACCCCCTTTTAAAAGTAACATTTAACATTCTAAAATTATAAATTAATGCTACGACACACAATTCCACCCTCCCCTCCCACACACACACTTTTTTCACATATCGTCACCAAAACCTTTCAAACCCTATCCCAATAATAATGTGCCGTCATTGAAGGGTATCCCCTAATACAAATGTTGCGGGATTTTTCCGCCTATGCGAACCTAAAACAGATAGTCCCACATCGAACTCTTGTCTATGGAGAAAAGAAAATCTCGAAGATTTAAACGAATAAATAATTGCACGTCTTCTTTATTCATAATCGCCGTTTAAATATGTTGTCTTTGTCTGCATCCAGCTTAGATAGTTAGTTGGGCATACATTATGTGACGTCAAAGTAAGTAAAATACACAAAAAATGATGTTTACAGTAGACTCACGTGATTACGTAATTAATGGAATCTCGCAGAGTGTTTTGTTATCCTTTATATGTAATTGTTTACTTGGTAAAAGAACTCATTCTACTTTTGGTTTTTCAATAGCCTATTACTTAAATACTGTTACTGATAGATGAAATTCATATATAACTAAATCATCTAATTCTCTGTTTTCTATCAAATTTTGTAGAAATTTCCGGTGATCGGAAGTAGTACTTTACGCTATTTCCGATTTCTAATTAAAAAAAAACCCATATGAATTTATAATGTACTAATGTTCCGCACCATTATACACGCATTTTTGCTGTAATTTGGTGCACAATTCTTTTGTCTACAAGATTCTATTCTATTTTAAAAAGTTAAAGTACATAAAAAATCATTAAATATAGTCTATCCCGAGTTGCAATCACATGTAGTGTTATCTAATATATAAAGTTAAAACGGACTCTGTTTCTCTGTATGTATGTATATATGTATATGTCGGACAGCGGATTACAAAATAAAAATTGAGGGAAAAATAGACTTCATCGCCATAATTTGAAAAGTGCTCATCGTCTAAATCCATGATTTAAAAAATTAATATTGAAAGTGTTTTAAAACAATTTTCAATTTCCAAACTTAAAGAAAATGTATCACCCTTCGCGAAAATTCTAATTGTGTCTGAAAATTATTTACATTTAGTCCTTTATCACTTTTTACGTCCCTTAATAAATTAGGAAAACATAATTACTTCCCATTAAAAACCATTACATCTTGGGACAAAAATTTACTTTTTATTACTTTGTTTTGGTGTTGGGAAAAAATTAATGACATAATTACTGTGGATTGATCAAGTGCAATGTGGTAGGTATTTTAAATACGGCCTTTTATTTATTTTAAACACTGAACGTACTGTTTTCTAAATATTATTTATAAACAATTACAGTTTACAAGTCGCACCTAAATGTCCTCTATGTTTACTTCTATCTCTCTGTCTTCGGATAAGCTTAGGTTATTATAGTAGTTCACTAAATTGAACCAGGCGTGTCCGCCGGCGCCCCAGCAGGGTCTGATTGGACTCCCTGGGCTATCCTGTGAGCGCTATGATGGATAATTTCGTTTTAAACAGTGCGATAGACTATGGATAAGAAAGGTTACTACAGTCCATCACTAAAACGAATCAAGGGCGTCCTCTGGCGCTCCAACAGAGTGCAATTTGGCGCCCTGGGCCTTCCCGTGTTCGCTATGGCGCCTACGTTCGTTTAAGTGAGTGCAAAAGACTATGAATAAGCTGGGGTAATATAGTCGAGCACTTTGCGTTCATGTTTGCATTTAAGTTTGTGTTTATGTTTTGCAATTTACTTTTGCATTATTTTGAGTTGTTGTTTACATTTTGGTTTACGTTTGTGTTTGCTTTTTGTTTGCGTATGTTTGTGTTTTTTTGTATTTGTATTTGCGATTGTGGTTGCATTTGTGTTTGCGTTTGTATTTGTGTTTTCATTTGCTTTTTTGTTTGCGTTTGTGATTGAGTTTTTGTTTGCGTTTGTGTTTGAGTTTGGATTTGCGTTTGTGTTTGTGTTTTCGATTGTGTTTGTATTTCTGTTTGCGTTTGTTTTATGTTACCGTTTTTTTGTGTTTTGGTTTTGGTTGGTTGTGGTTAGGGTTAATTAGAAAAGTAATACATTTCCTAAACCCGGGCAAAGCAGGGTATATGCTGCTTTATAAACACACAAGTAATGGTCCTTTGAAAATAAGTTTTTTCACAAAGGCCAGTGCAGGGCCTGGCCGGGACGGCTAGTATAAGAATATTCGAGAAAGTTTAGGGCAGATCACTCCTGCTTTATTTAAAAATAAAAATTGACCAATGTAGGCCTACTTAATCATGAACTTGCTATTGAAAAAATCAAAACACGATAGGTAAACTGTTAAATAAAAATTTGTGGTTTTTGAAATAAAAGCTGTTTGCAACCTCTTTAGGCGAGAGAAATGCTCTATGCTAGTGGAAATACTTAGCTCATCGCATTGACAGCAGAGTTTCTTCCAGACATCTCACAAGGTTGGGCGAGGACGGGCAATGATTATTATTTTCTATATAAATTAAATAGTTTTTGTTCTATTTTTTCTGTGGGGGGAGGGGGGGGGGGTGTCAGTGGACGTGCTCTACCCCCTCCCCCTACTCCCTCTTTAAAAAAGATGGCTGAAAGAAACACTGTTAAAATATTAAGTAATAAAGCTATTTAAAGGTAGGAGGGATTAGGGATGTTGTGTCATTCAGAAAGTGTGATGCCACACTTTTGAAATTTAAAGAAAAAGTCATTTCAGTTATCAGATTTCAAGGGATTATTTTTAAATTGAAAATGTAACTTGATAAATGTAGTTGGTATAGTTCCCTGACGTTAGGAAAAGATAAATGTTCTCGTTCTAGTTTTGTACCCTGAAGCAGTAGCGCAGAGGCGTAGCGACCCTTCCCGGCGCCCAGGGACATACTTTCAATTTGGCGCCCCCTCGGGAGCAAATTTTCGATTTGCACCCCCCCCCTCGAACTTTTCATTTGCACCCCCCCTCAAACTTTCGATTTGCACCCCCCCTCGAACTTTTCATTTGCACCCCCCCCCCCTGAAACTTTCAATTTGGCGCCCCCCCTAAGGTCGGCGCCCGGGGACATATGCCCCCCCCGCCCCCCCTCGCTACGCTACTGCAGTAGCGTCGCTAGGTCGGGTGTCACCCGGTGAGGCACTTCATGGTGTCACCCCCCCCCCCCTTTTTTTTTTTCTCTGTAAATTTTGCATATGGTGTCGACCCCCCCCCTCCCTTTCCACGATAAAAGCTTTCAGGTATTCACATTTAATACTAATGATGTTTATCGATAGTCGTTTGTTGATACAGCTGGGTGTAGCATTGTTTTCTCTATAGTTTGCATGGTTGCGTCATCGTGCCTCCGCCCCCTCTCTTGTCGGGATCGTCATTATGTACTTAAAATACTTTTTTAACTCTAACTCTAATACACTGAACTGTCAAAAACATTTTTATTATTTTTGCCTTGTGATTTTTTTTTCTTGGTGTCACCCCCCTAAATGGTGTCACCCGGTGCGATCCGCCCCCCCCCCCCCGACCCCACCTTGCGACGCCTCTGCCCTGAAGTGTGACGTTATTTCGTGTAGAATGGTCGGACCTTGGTGAGACAATAATTAACGTTATCGTTTTTTTTTAAAAATAGTTTAGATTGAAAATGTATCAAACTTGTAGAACAGATCAAGACTAAACTGATATAGGGATAAAATAACAGAAAAGTTCCATGAAAACCAGAACATTTATTTTTTTAACACAACGTCCATATCAAGCGTACATGAATTGTTTGTTCACTGACTTTTTAAAGATTTTACATACACATACATAGCCTATGGATATAGCGTGTTTATATATATATATATATATATATATATATATATATATATATATATATATATATATTTATATATATATATTTATATATATCGCCTCCATAGAATCAGACTGCTTAAACTCCAGTTTTTAAAAATGTTCACAACAAGGCGCTTTAAAGTTTTGCTTTCCTTAACATTCCTATACTTGGTAGGCTTACTTAATGACATTAAATTGTTTTGTAATAATGGTGACAGAATTATTTTTTTTTGTGTGCTATGATCCTTCAGTAGACTTAAATTATAAAACATAACTGTGTACAGATGCAGTAATTTTGTTCGAAAAATGGAGTTACAGCAATATGTCCTATATGTATGTATATAAATATATTTTTTTTACTCTATTGCTCAATCAGACACGTTCGAATCCGCATCACTGGTCCCATTTGTACCTGTATAATACTCGCACAAAAACCTTGGATCGCCTCCCTTATAAGTACACGAGTAATCCTCCATTTTCCACCCGGTCGCTTTGGTCAAAACGATGCAGTTCTCTTGCTTGGGGCTCCCTTTTGCCCAATCAAAAAACAGAACCTCCTCGCCCGTTCCGTCAACCCACTTCTTATTGGTTCTCTCCGCGTCAATGTATACCTTCGTGACATCCGGGAACGTGTCGAGAAATGACGCAACGAATTTCAAGTTCTCCGAGTTGTCTATCGCAGCGAGTCGTGACCAAACTAGACCGCATATGTCCTGGGATATGTTGTAGTCAGCGTTGAAAATCAGTGGCTTGGAAAGTATATAGGTAGTATAGTTAAATTCGTCGGAGAAATCGAATACATAAAAAATTGCTTCGGGTATTTGGATACCCCCATTGTCATCCTCGACTTCACCAGAGTCTGGAGCATCCTGTGCACCTAATTAGGGATAAAATAACAAAAAATGCACATTTAAATACATTATTTCAAACGAAAAAATATTCCACGCATTCCTAAAATCAGATTTTTTTTTTTTTAAAGAAAGGCTTTAAAGTTTGTTTTCTATAATTTTCTATACGAAGCGAAATTTCGTGTAATAATGAAGAGGGATAGGGTCTCGGTTACTTATTACCACGATGGTGGAAATTTTAACACAACGTTGTATAAATCACGAACAACGAAAAATGGAGTTAAAACAGGCTTGTTCCGGCGAAGCGATGTATAAATAGACATTATATATATATATATATATATATATATATATATATATATATATATATATATATATATATATATATATATGTTACGGTCAAAGCCCGAAGTCGGCCAATGCTAGGATTGGCCGTTCAATCCGCGCATTGGCCAATATTGCCTCCCATAGGTCGGTCAAAGTCCGAAACTTTGCTTGATTTCGGCCTTTGGCCGGCCAATCCGCAGACTGGCCATGGTGGACCGGCCAAAGTCTTAATTAGAAGATCATCTGGCTAGGGATGACCGGCCAAAGTTCGAATTAGAAGATCATGAGCAGATTTTGTTTTTTTTTTATGCTGTAAGGATCATGAAATTAAGTCTTTATTGATTATTAATTAAAGTAAATGACAGAAACATTCAAATTTTTTATTGTACTATAGTCTCAATCTATCAATATCATCATTTGTTACAACAAGTTGAACTTTTATGGCATTTAGAATTACATAGCAGCTTGTTATTTTTACACTTGCAGCGATTTGTTGTGCACTTAGTTGTGCAATTGCAGCGATTGTAGCCTTGGCCCCCAGTCAATGATTGTGAAGATGCGATGGTTCGTAGTGATTTTTCCTCAGTGGCAACTGATGACAATAAGAGCAGTTTTTCGTGAAGAATTGAAAACTCACTTCTAGCATACAGTTGTTTTAGAACACCATGTTCCGTTCTTAATTTGTAGAAAAATCCTCGACGCTCATGACAACTGCAATCACGCTTCGCGGATCACCGTGACCTCTGTCAACATCTGGAACACGGATGTGTACATTGTTATCCATTTCACCATCTTTAAATTTTGTATTTGATGTTTTAAGCATCTTAGCACCTGGAGTTTGCAAGCCAGTATGAGCTGCTGATCTGTGTTCCATGATGTCTTGTTTGCTGTAACACAATCTGCAGGTAATGTTCCCTCCATACCCTTCGTCTGCTTCATTGGGTATCCCACAAATTGCATGGACATCATTGCCACAGGATCCAAAAGAATGAGCTGCACTACAATGTTTTTCACAAACTATATAGAATCTGTTGGCCACATTATTGTCACGCAACTGGTCTGGGCGTTCCGCCACGGCAGTAGATGTGTTAGCTGAGGATGTCGTTGCATTTATGGCAACCTCCATTTCTTGTTCCATGTTCTCAAGATCTTCCTCAGTAATTATTATATCGAGAGCCCATATATGGAAACTAACATGGATTTACATTTTTTTCCTTTTGACAGCCATCTGCTATGTCTGTCTCATGGTCTGACGGCCTTTATGGTCCATGTCGCCTTGCATATAGAATGCTATACAAACAAGAGCTGAACAATACGTTACTCTCAATGAAAACGTACCCAGAATAATGAAAATGCGATCACAACTTAGTCTAGATAGAACATTGGCCAGGACATCCCGGCCAGTGCGCGCATTGGCCGGCCAATGTACAAAATACGCTGTCATGTTAAAGCGCTTCGGACTTTGGCCAGTACGTCCCGGCCAGTGCGCGCATTGGCCGGCCAATGTACAAAATACGATCTTAGTGCTAACTTCTTCGGGCTTTGGCCAAGAGAGCCGGCCAATGCTAGGATTGGCCGGCCAATCCTAGCATTGGCCGCACTTCGGGCTTTGACCGTAACATATATATATATATATATATATATATATATATATATATATATATATGGCTCCTTAGTCTAACAGACCATTGGATGATTGCGCATTGAAATTCCAAGCACACAGCCTGGGCCCTAACTTGAGAGGAGCCAGGTATTGCCCAAGTATCAGTCCATTTCCACACTGCTGATGTATCCAAAGGACAGGGCGTATCATAGTTGTGGATCAATTAAAAAAAAAACTATCCTTACCCAGCAATGCTGTGCAGCAAATAAAGAGAAGAAACGAAGCGGTTACTAAGAGCATCTTGGAGTTTCTGCACAAGCTCTTCTAGACGGGTCCTCTTATAGACAGACACACACGTCACCCGACACTTACGAAGGCGTGTCCTAAAACTCTGATCCCCCACTCCCCTCCTGACTCCACGCATGATGAAACCTTGTCGTACACTATTGCTTTTTTTATCTCTACATGGACACAGTTTCTCTTCTTCTTTTTCATTGCACTGATTTCTTCTTCGTTCTTAATTTTTAGTGTTGGAGGGGATCGAGCCTTATCTGCCAGAGGGTTTGAACTCGAGACTTTTTTTTTGGAATTTATCAACCATGAGCTTTTGCCGACTCGACCACGCCTCCATCACAATTAAGGATACGTGTCAACTGGTTATGCACCATTGAGGCCATTGACTCCGATTTCAGCCTGCTTTTCTTTTTGGATTTGCTTCCATAGCCTTTGTCCAACCAAGAACAAACTACAAGGCAACAGTTGTTTGATTTTGGAGTTGTCTCTCCTAGAAGAGTGGCTGTCCCCATCTACCGAGCCTCATCTGACCGAGGGTTCGAACTCGAGACTTTTCGGTTTAGCAACCATGAGCTTTACCGACTCGACCACGCCGACCCCTTGCACTGATTTAAATCTGCCCTTCTTTCTAATCCACCCTAAGAACCCTAGTCGAAACTCTAATGGATAATATTTTTTATTTCAGCCTCTCTAGTCGACCATAGATGGCGTCGCATGCGTCTGAACTCTTAACTGCTAACCCGAAAGTCTCGAGTTCGAGTCCGGGTTTCATTTTGTAGCACGTGCCAACTCTCGCGGGTACTCAACTTAGGTTAAGGAAAGTGAAGGCGGCTGGGCGTAGTGCTGACCACATTATTCCTTCTTATGTCGAGGTCACAAAAACAGGTGAACTCTACTTTACTGGCTCGAAAAGGGACTTTAACCAACGTAAACCCTCTTTTAAAAATATCATTTAACATTTAATTTTTTTTAACTAATGCTATGCCACACATTTACCCCCCCCCCCCCCACCACACACACACACTACACTTGTTTTCACATATTGTCACCAAAACTGATTAAAACCCTTCCCACTAATAATGTGCCGTCATTGACATGTTACCCCTAATACAAATGTTGCGAGATTTCTCCGCCTATGTATACATACAACAGACACCCTCTGACCCTCACATAAAATATTGTCTATGCAGAAAAGAAAAACTCGAAGATTTAAACGAATAAATAATTGTACGTCTTCTGTATTAATAATCGCCATCTAAACATGTGTTGTAAATGTAGTTGTCTACAGCCAGCTTAGGGTATACATTAAGTGACGTCAAAGTTATTAAAAAACACAAAAAATGTTGTGTACAGTTAACTCACGTGATTATGTAATTATGGAAATCTTTCAAAGCTTTTAATTATCCTGTATATTTAATTGCTTGTTTGGTAAAATATATCTTTGTATTCTATAGAGCTTATTAAACAAAATAGCTATTTGTGGAACAAATACAAAACAAAAGAGTTTCTTGTCCTAAATCAAAACATGTTTTTTTTGTCCTAAATAAAAACATGGTTTAATGTCCTAAATAAAAAAAAAAACATTGTTTCTTGTCCTCAATAAAATCATGGTTTAATATCCTAAATAAAAACATGGTTTCTTGTCCTAAATAAAAAACATGGTTTCTTTTCCTAAATAAAAACATAGTTTAATGTCCTACTTAAAAACATGGTTTCTTGTCCTAAATAAAAACATGGTTTCTTGACCTAAATAAAAACATGGTTTCTTGTCCTAAATAAAAACTTGGTTTCTTGTTCTAAATAAATGTGTATGTTTATATATACTAGAAATGTTACATATTCTTTAACAGCTACAGTATCGGGTCAAGGTGATTGCTGCTCCATCTCTAGATAAACAACGTTTGAGAGTTTTAGACAATCAAAACATTTTTTCTTGCCAAACAGTTGCTTGGAATAAACTCAACTTGCCCAAATCTGTTTATCTAAAACCACACTGGCGTGTCCTACTTCTATCAAGATAATAATGTTCTAGAGCAGTGGTTCTTAACCTTTTTGGATACCGAATTTAACCGAACCCCACCCGTTTCGTATGCTCATTCACCGAACTCTTCTTAATAGTTCTTTCATTCGCACTGACAAAATCTGATCGTGAATCTTATGAGTCGGGTGTGTGTCTTGACCTCCGCCGAACCCCTGAGACTGACTCACCGAGCCGCCAGGGTTCGAACCCAGGTTAAGAACCACTGTTCTAAGGCTATCACAACGTGTAGCCCTGGTCTTTAATGTGTTTTTTTTATCAATATCTATAGATTTAATTAAAAATGAACTAAGGAAAAATTTGTTTGATTGTAGTGTTTTTTATTAACACCTGCAACGTTTGAGATGTATCAAAATTGATCAAATTTAGTTTTACTAAATTCACGGTTGCTATAGTCAAGGATTAAAAAAATTAAAAAAAAGGGAAAATATCTTTAAAATGTAGTTTAGAAAAAAATGAAACTGAATGTCTTTATTTCCACAACAATTTGAAGAATTTGGAGAAGTACGAGTCTTGCTTGACGTGGACTTCACACATGAATCGGCTGCTGCCCCCGGAGAACGTGCAGACGTTGTCGTCCATACCCCACCACGTGGTCTTGTGGTACACCAGACAGTTGGCCAGGGTGTCGCTGCCCGGCTGACCTTCGACCCAATCAAAGTAGGTCACGGGCTTCCCGCTCCCGCGGAACACCCAGCTGCCTTCTTTCTTCTCGTCACTTCCGCCCGTGTACACGTACGAGATGTCGCTGAAAGTGTTGAGGAAAGATTTGATGAAGCGGTGCTCGTCGGCGTCGTTGACCTCCACCAGGTAGCCGCCGATGAGGTGACACAGCGCCTCGGAGGTGTCGAAGTCAGGGTAGCCCAGGGGCTTGGAGAGGTAGTAGCGGTGGCCTTTGAAGACTTGGGACTCGTGGAAAAGGACGCCGGTGGCTTTTGTAAGGCGGTCGTCGTCGTTGGTGTCTCCCCAGAGGTCCGCGGCAGATGTGGCGGCTGTAGGGGAAGTAGAGGGGAGTAAATACTCAGTGGATAATTAGAGAGGAAATAGAAGAGTAGTAGAGGAAGTAGAGAGGTAAATACTCAGTGGATTATTAGGGAGGGATTAGAAGAATAGTAGAGGAATTAGATGGGAGTAAATACTCAGTGGATTATTAGTAGGACGTGGTGTGGATAGAAAATTAGTAGAGGAAGTAGAGAGGGTAAATACTCAATGGATTATTAGTGCGTCTGGAAGTGAGTGGGAAATACAGAAAGCCATTGGGGTAGCTAAGGAACGCTATGGAATCAGTGTCTGTTGTATAGAACTGATAAAAAAAAATAATACGTTAAAATGGCGGTATTGAAAGTAAGGGCAGGGCTTAGTGTTAGTATGGCATTATATGCTAAAGATTGAAGATGAACGTTTAGCAGTAAACCACACATTAATCACATTTTATTTCAAATATATCGAATTTTAGAATCAATATTTAATTTTGGTTAAATAAACAATCGTTTATCAATCGCCAGGTACGAGATTCACTTTGATTATTTTTCACAAGAGTGCGACTCTATTCATTACGTATAAAGATATTATAATTTGATGTAGGCTCTTCAGTTTTATGTACCGATGTCAATCAGATGTAAAAAAAAAAATGCAATGTACATCCGTAGCTCATACAATTTGGGAAAGAAATCTTTGATGCGATACTTTACTCATAAGTACTTGCTGCCCGTGAATAATGCTTAAGAATATTAAGATTGTCTACTAGTACTGATCTATTACAGCAGCATCAAGCTTGAAGTAGTGTTCGAATGGGCGATTCGCCTGATATTTATACTACAGAGATCGTTGGGGCACCAATGACCGTAAATAACCAACAAATAAAACAAAACAAAAAACCAAATCAATCATCGGCTCACAAATACCTACCGGCCACAAAGACTAGCGCAATGACACAGCTCCGGTAGAAAGCGTGGAACCACATTCTTAGACTAGGCATCAAACTGACGACTCAAAGGAAACGTCCCCTCTATTTATGTGCTTGTCAACGTCACATTTCACAAAGACATTTGCAATTCAAATATTTTTCAAAAAGCTGAAATCAGCGAATCAGAAAGAGGCGTTAAATTAAGGGTAGGACACAAGAATAATAATGTGGCCTTGTGTCGTTTTGTTTAAGATGGTGTGGGCTGGAGTAGAGTTGTGGCACTTGCTTCATACAGAGATAACATGCTGATGTAAGATACGTCAGTCAACATGTTTTAAAAAAAAATAATGATGCATCGTTGGAATGATAAAAATACAAATCTGATTTACTCTGCATGCATGACTGGAGATCGACATAAAGATTAGCCCGTGACAATGACGTGATGGATGCACAATGCGCCCCCGAGGCGGGCTCTTAATTTACTTCCTCCCGCCCTCCCCCATAATGTACATACAAAAAAAAACTTGCGCATGGCGACATTCCCACCTCCCCCCCCCCCCACACGCACCCAGCAACACCATTGCATTGCAACAACTGAATGCGTCATAGTGACATTTGTAACATTTGAAATGACAAGATAACAAATTTGGAATAGAAGTGCTGCATGGGAATTATTTTCTGTTGCAGGTACTAGATCTAGACCCATTTCTCAAATGTAACATTATTAGAATTTAACCATTTAACCAATGGACAAAGCTGCGAATAGTCTCGAGATTTTTCAATGGTGTATACAATTTAAAAAAACAAATCGTGTGCTTTGTTATTGTCAGACTTTACTACAGATTTGACGTATTTGATTTTATAAATAGTATTTTCGTTAATTAACTAAACAACATTTTTTTAAAAACCAAACTAGCAGAACCATGCAGAGGCGTAGCGAGGGGAGGGGGGTGCGGACCGCACCGGGTGACACCATTTAGGGGGGGTGACACCAAGGCAAAAAATAGCAAAATATATGGAGAAAAATGATAATTCCACTTAATTAAGTGATTAATTCGAGTGTTAGTCTTTTAAGAGGTGTAAATCGAAAGTTTGAGGGGAGGGGGGGGAGGGGGAGGGGGGGGGGGGTGCAAATAAAAAAATGAAAGTTTGTCCCCCCGACCTCGCTACGCCAATAGAACTATGTCATGTGGTTTAAAAAAAAATAATCGGCAAAGTTTTGAACTATAAAGTGGGGTTTTGAGAAGATCGATCACAACGTTCATGTACAGCCAATCAATGTTAATCTTACGAAAGTGCATCTTCAGGTTATAACTTATATTGATAAAACTAGTGACAATTTAAGCGCAATTTCCTTAATTAATTTTTTAGAATTCACAGACCTACGTAAAAATCCTTTCGAACCTCCGCTCATTCGCTATGGTAAAATCCTTTCGAACACCAGCGCTTTGCGCTAAAAACCTACAAGATGCTCAGTTTAAACCAGACGAGCAGAGCTAGTCGCCGCCCCCTCGCGAGATCTGCGCGAGTCTGGCCAATGGCAGCGTGTTACAAGTAGACGTTACCTCTCACTAGCGACTGCCTCAGCCGGTGTGCTTGGTTTGGAACTTCACCGCTTCGCTTCTTCTAGAAATATTTGTATATTCTTAGTAATCTTAGCCAATACAAATTAGAAGAAATAAATTTTTTGTGACCGAACGAAATGATATTTTTGAAAACTTTCTTCGGCAATATTGTTTTAAATTATAGCAGGAATCGATTGGTAAATGTTTCAAGTCGCTAAGTGGTCTGGTTGCCGAGATATGGGTAAAAAAACTGCATTTTTTCGAGGTTTTTTGGCTTTTCCGGGAAATCCAGGAAGGAATTCCGGAATTTTTTCGGCCCACAATCATCCTTGGAACTTGCTTAACATATTTGCTTTGGAAATAGTCCTCGATATTGCTTCGTTGAGGAGGAGATACGACTTAAAGCTGCGGACATCCATCCATCCATTCCCAGAAATGACGATTTAATAATCGCAATTCTCCAGAATGGAAATTGCGCTAAAAATATATATAAAAAACTCAGAATTTTTTCAGTCTTAAAAGTTTTTTTTAAGGTTTTTCTGTTCGTTTTTTTTTTTTTTTTTTACTGCTGTTACATATTGCGTTCAAGACGTGGCAGCGATGTATGGAAACAGGCGGCAAATTTTTCTTTGTTTTCATTTTAACGCTGCATTTCCTCACAGTTAACTGGATGGCACTCAGAAACACATTCTATTTACCCGTAAGTGAATGCGTGGTCAAGCGGTAGAACGCGTTCTTGCTAACCCAAAGGCCCGTGTTCGGAACGCGGGATAGAACTGTCCCCATTACTAAACTAGGTTGTGTAAAATGCACCACGGCAGGAAGTCTGGTGGAGGAAAACACAGGTCATTTCTGCTGATTGGAAATTATTGCTGAAGTCGCTTACTTATCTAGATTTATACTACAATCTAGACTAGATCTCTAGATCTATATCTAATGTCTTCAGTCTCTTTGGAAGCAATATTTTTTACCTGCACTTCGCGGTGGTTTTAGCATTTGGGTCATCTATCAAGATCCACCTATTCGATGACTTAAACTAATCAACATAGCATTGCTTTTCATTTATTGGGTCATCAGAACGTGACTGTTGCAAGAATTAAACCTTAATGATAACCTAGAGACTTGAGAACTAATGATTGCAAAATGTGTGGGAAAATAGTTTTCACATATTCACATATTTAATTCAGAATCAATACAGACATACTTTTAGAAACACATCATGATATACGGTATAGACGTTTGTAAGTTTATTTTCTAGTGCCAAAAAGGACAGACAATTATCAGATAAACTATTTAGAAAAAACAACAAAACACAACAGAAATTAGTTGGCTTTTTTAACTAAAAAAAACATATACTTCATTGATTAGTTATTGTAAATTCCATTTAAAAAACAAAAACAAAACGTTTTTTAGTTTCAGTTAACAGGGCACAAAATTTCAAATTTGTTTATTTTAAATTTAACTGTCCGGAACTTCGCAGACGAACCTGGTGTTTCCGCCGTGGTAGTTGCACCGGAAGTCGTCCATCTTCCAGTCGGTTCTGTCCAGGTAGATCAAACAATCCCCGTCAATATCATTGGTGGGTTGTCCAGGTGTCCAGTCCAGGTAGGTGACGGGCTTGCCGCTGTAGCGGTACACCCAGGTGCCTTCTGACCTCTCGTCGTTGCCCCCCGTGTAGACCGCGAAGAAGCCTCGAAATCTTCGAATGAAGCTCTTCACGAACAGATACTCAGCGGCGTCGTCGATCTCGGCCAGGTAGCCTCCAATCAGCAGACACATGGCCTGGGACCTGTTGATGTCGGCGTTACCCAGCGGCTTGGACAGGTAGTACCTTCTGCCCCTGTACGGCTGGGACGTTTCAAACAACACCGGCACGGCCGAGTTGACTCTGGTCCTTACATCTTGTCTGAATCTCTCTAACGCTCTTTGTCTTGAGATGGAGCAGCAATCATCTTGAGCCGATACTGTAGCTGTTAAAGAAAAATAAAAAATTCTGTTTTATATAAACATACTAGCCGTCCCGTCCCGGCCCTGCTCTGGCTTCTGTGAAAAATCTTTCTGTTAAAAACCATTACCTGTGTGTTTAGTATTAGTAATCATCATAAACCCGGCATTGCCCACCCAAACCACAACCAACCAAAACCAAAACAACAAAACGCAAACATAACGCTAACACAATTACAAATACAAACGAAAACAAAAACCTAACAACAAAAACAACCACAAACACAAATACAAACACAAAGAAAAAACAAACGAAAAAGCAAACGAAAACAAACCAAATCCAAACGCAAAACCAACCACAAACACAAACCCAAAGAAAAAAACAAACGAAAAAGCAAACGAAAACAAACCAAATCCAAACGCAAAACCAACCACAAACAGAAATACAAACACAAACCCAAAGAAAAAACACAAACGAAAACGAAAAAAGAAAGAACAAAAACGAACCAAATCAAAACGCAACCACTAACGCAAACCCAACCTAAACACAAAGAAAACACTAACGCGAACATAAACGCAAAGTGCTCACAGTCTAGCCCGGGGCAGAATCGCCTGTTTCAGCTTAATAATCGATTATAGTACCCCAACTTATTCATAGTCTTTTGCACTCACTTAAACGAACGTAGGTGCCAAACCAAACCAAATTAACAATTATAATACTCCAAGCTTATTCGTAAAATACCTACAACATTTGCACTTAATCAATCCCCGCTAATTATGTAATTATTTTTTTCCCAACACCAAAGCAAAGTAATAAAAAGTAAATTCTTTTCCACTAATGCAATGTTTTATAAAGGGAAGTAATTGTGTTTTCCTAATTTATCAAAGGGAAGTAAGTGCTAAAGTACTAAATATAAATAATTTTCAGACATATTTAGAATTTTTGTTACTTTTTTAAAATTGTGTTTAATGAACATGCCGACAATTATTACTATCAGTTTGAAAAATGAAAATTATTTCCCAACACTTTCAATAGTAATTTTTTAACTCATAAATTTAGACTATGACCACGGTAATAGTCTAACACTTAAATCCATAGAAGTATGTCAACGACAAACAAACTTATTACATGTTACATACAAAATTGAGCTTTATATATTAGATAAACATAAAAATGTATTGAAAATTGAATATCCATCTTATTAATTGATAATCTAGGCTGTAAGTTCTTCAGTGTAGAGGTTGCACACATGCTAGTATAAATATATATATATATATATATATATATATATATATATATATATATATATATATATATATATATATATATATATATATAAATAAATAAATAAATAAATAAATAAATAAATATATATATATATATATATATATATATATATATATATATATATATATATATATATGTATATATATATATATATATATGTATATATATATATATATATATATATATATATATATATATATATATATATATATATATATATATAATTTGAAGGCTTTTTTTCAGAACAGTAAAACTTTATTAAACATTATAAGCAGTTGAGTTTAGGTAAGTCTGCCAACTAACTCTACCTGTCAAAAGGACAAAGATAAACACTAAGTCCCTGATCAGTCCCATAGCTGTGTTGTTGGTAATGCCACGTAACTTGGTGCCGAATGAAGCACTGCCAGTTTAACAATACTTCGTTTTATACCGCATGATAATTAAGGTTGCGATAAGCGATGGTTGTAAAATAAAAATTTGGTAGGGTGTGAATACATTATGTCGAATAGGGTGTGGTGGATAGGTGTGTGAACATGTTCGAGACTGGGATGGGGAGAGTGAGGTGGTCACCAACTCAGTAAAGAAGAAGAACTTAAAAGAGTCGTGTATCGACAGATGAGGAGGGAGGGAATAGAGAATAAGATAATCGTGTTAGAGATCAGACCAACGGCTACTTTTAAAAAATTCATAATATTAAAACAATTTGTTGATTAAACTGTGGATTTACGCATGGATAATCTAGACTAGGAATTGTTTTTACCAAGATGTAGGTCTTCGAAATGCACCCATAATAAACCGGGAGTGATCTCCGCTAAACTTTCTCGAATATTCTTATATAAAACAACAGGGGATGGCAACTCGGGATATCGACATGATTTTAATCCACTTTAAATACTTAAACTTTTTATAATACAATAAAATCTCTATATAAAAGAATTGCATACCAAGTGAACGCCAAATAAAACGTGCATTATAGTTCGGAATATTATTAGTACTTTATAAATTCACATGCGTTTTTTGAGAAATCGGAAATAGCGAAAATACTACTTCCGGTCATTAGAAATTACTCAAAAATGTAAGGAAGGCAGAGAATTATATATTTTACCTACGTGTGAAATTTTATTCATCTATCTGAAATAGTTCTCAAGTTATAGGCTTTAAAAAAAATTCAAAGTAGAAAAAGTTTCACTTTCATCAACCTAGCTACAACGGTACTAAAGCTAGGTTGTTGAAATTTCATATATAAGTATTTTATCAAAATCGTAGATCCGTATCAACTTTTGATCGATTTCCGATAACCGGAAGTGGTACTTTTTCTACTTTGAATTTTTCAAAAGCCTATAACTTGAGTACTATTTCAGATAGATAAATAAAATTTCACATGTAAGTGAAAGATCTAATTCTCTACCTTCTTTCAAATTTTGAGTAATTTTAGTTGACAGAAAGTACTAATTTACGCTATTTCCGGTTTCTCAAAATACGCATGTTAATTTATAAAGTACTAATAATATTGCGCACTATTATGCACATATTTATTTTGCGTTCACTTGGTGTGCAATTCTTTTGTCTACAAGATTTTATTCTATTTTTACAAGCTTTTATTTAACTCGCTTCCTCTGTCGTCAGTCGTCAGTCGACAGTCTGTCTGTCGTCAGTCTAGATCAGGGGTCTCCAAACTACGGCCCGCGGGCCGAATCCGGCCCGCGAAGTCCTCTCATCCGGCCCGCTGATATCTTTTAGTCCAAGAAAAATCGCTTGTTGGTGATGGCTGAGGAACTTTGCCCAGAAAAATCAAAGACATGCCTGGAAGAAACTGGCCCCCGAATCGAAATTTGATAGTTAATGCGGCCCTCGGACTGAAAAGTTTGGAGACCCCTGGTCTAGATCGAAACGCAGGTGTGAAAATTCGGACACTTCTACTTGACCGATACGATTCACATTTGACACGTGGGTCAAGGCATGAAGGCAATGCAATCTGAAATTAAATTTGACTTAATTGGATGCCTAATTAATTTTTTATGAATTAATTACAATTCGGACCGAATTAGTAGGCATGTCTATCCAACCACACCACACGCGTCATCACGTTCAATAGCTGCGCCATCAGGTTTAATAGCTGCGCTATCACATTCAATAGACGCGCAATGGTTTTTAGTCATGTAACACTATTGTAAATAAAACATGTAAAGTACTGAAATTTTTTCATAAAAAACGTTTTAATAACAAGCTTTTATGTAATGATGCACTAAAAAGTAGAAAATAAATTATACACTACTATTTAAATTACTATAAAGAAAAGCGTGGGTCTCTTCTCAAATATTAGTAAAGGTATCCAATAGGTACTAAAGTACTAAAGTGACCCACGCTTTTCTTTTTAGTAATTTAAATAGTAGTGTAAAATTTATTTTTTATTTTTTAGTGCATCATTACATAAAAGCTTGTTATTAAAACGTTTTTTATGAATTTTTTTTTAAACTTTAAGTATTTAAAATGGATTAAAAATCATGTCTACAGCCCGAGTTCCCATCCCCTGTTATTTTATATATAATAATATTCGAGAAAGTTTAGGGGAGATCACTCCCGGTTTATTATAAATAAAAATCCACATTTATACACCCGATTAATTTTTTCAATTGAATCTTGAATTAGTTGGAATTTAGAGATTAATGGATACATAGTTGAATAATATCAGTATGTTAAGCTTGAAACAAATACATCTGGTAACACATGCACCTACAAACATACATTCTGGCACAAGCTAACACGTACAAAATATATGTGTATGCCCGTGTGTCGAATCCGCCTATGGAATAACGTTGTATTGGCTAATACCGTTATCAGTAATAAGGAAGAAGATTTTAATTAGTTTCTCTTAACTAGTTTCACACGCTTTCTGCACATGTGCGTTCGGTGATAAATGGTTACTACAGTTGTAAATGTAATGTGTTGTGGGTAGATGATGTAGTGACATGTTGTGGGCAGATGACGTGGTGACATGATGTGGTGACATTATGTGATGACACACTGTTGGCAGATGATGTGGTGACATGTGGGCAGATGATGTGGTGACATATGGGCAGATGATGTGGTGACATATGGGCAGATGATGTGGTGACGTGTTGTGGGCAGATGATGTGCTGACGTGTTGTGGGCAGATAATGTGGTGACGTGTTTTGGGCAGATGATGTGGTGACGTGTTGTGGGCAGATGATGTGGTGACGTGTTGTGGGCAGATGATGTGGTGACGTGTTTTTATAAACACACTAAGTTTTCAACACCCAACGTTTTTTTACCCAAAGTTTCATTAGAGATATAACCCAACAAGACGTATTCTTTAAACACAACACATTTATTAGATTTCAAGTATATATTTAATTAGTACCAACACCTTTTCTACTTATCTATATTAATGAAATGAGCCGTGAAACTAAAATTGACAAAAAATTGATAATCTATTTTAGCTTGAAAATTTACATAAATTATATATTAGTTTTACAATTTTCAAAACAAAAAATGTTTCAATTTCTGCTTCTATTTTATACTCGGCTGTCTGGTACCTCGCAGACGAACCTGGTATCATTTCCGGTATACATACACCGGAAGTCGTCCATCTTCCAGTCGGTTCTGTCCAGATAGGTCAAACAATCCCCGTCAATATCATTGGTGGGTTGTCCAGGTGTCCAGTCCAGGTAGGTGACGGGCTTGCCGCTGTAGCGGTACACCCAGGCGCCCTCCTGGGCCTCGTCGTTGCCCCCCGTGTAGACCGCGAAGAAGCCGCTGTAGCCTCGGATGAAACTCTTGACGAACAGATACTCAGCGGCGTCGTCGATCTCGGCCAGGTAGCCCCCAATTAGCAGACACATGGCCTGGGACCTGTTGATGTCGGCGTTACCCAGCGGCTTGGACAGGTAGTACCTTCTGCCCCTGTACGGCTGGGACGTTTCAAACAACACCAGCACGGCCGAGTTGACTCTGGTGCTTACATCTTGTCTGAAACTCTCTAATGCTCTTTGTCTTGAGATGGAGCAGCAATCGTCAATTGCTAGAGTTATTCCTGTTTATAGAAACAAAATAAAGAATGTATTTTGATAATATGTAAGTTGAAACAGTCTTAAATGTAAAGTTTGCCCCTCTCCCCCTCCCTCTGTTTTTGTAAATAACTGCGGACGAGTACAAAAAAACAAAAAAAAAACCTCGCTTAAAGACGCATCCCCGCGTCTAATCTATATATATAATTCTCTTCTGGGATCAGTTAGAAAACAAGCTGCAAGCGCGCCTTTGCAGTCCCCTCTCTTCCTCTCTATCACTATCACTATCACTACTACCCCCACCCCACCCCCACATGATCTGGTGATCGGTGTTCACTCTGTTTACATTTTACAACATTGAGACGGGTTTGGTGACGGCTATTAGGGGCAGATAATTGAGTTTTATACGATTTTAAACTTAGAGGAGGTAACTAAGAGGAGGCTGCTTTCACGTGGGGGGGGGGGGGGGGGTTAGTGTTTTAAAGCAAATATTTTCAATGGCAGCATTGGTACTGTCGAATTCACAAATTATAAATTACTGAAAAGTAGAAAATAAAACAACTAAATAGCGGCGTATGATACGTAGCGGGTCGGCTCGTTAATAATAAAGGAAGTCTTTCCTTCACTGTACCACGGTGGAGGCTACTATGCCAAGGTTCGACTAAGTAGGACTTTGTTGGTCCTACAACGGATAGGTGATCTTGGAGGGGGGGGGGGGGAGTCATTGGGAAACAAGTCAGGGGGAAAAAAACCATGTTAAAAAATTCACAGAAAAGCAAAAAAATCAGTCCGTGCAGTTCATCCACGTTATATTATTGACGTTTTGTGTCAATTTTTTTAAATTTATCGACTACTTAACACATTAATTTTAAAATTTACAAACCTATTCAATGCACACAACAAAATGTGTGTCTCCCCCTACCTCCCCCTTCCTACAACCGAACTAGGGTGCCCTTTGCTCTAGAGTAGGTAGTCTCAAGGAAACATTCATTAAACAGCTTGCTAGCGGTCTAAGTATACGAAATGTGCGACTCGGCATTCTGTTAGTGTTTTCCTGTCAAGTCCGTTTATTGAGTCATGCCTGTGTAAAAAAATCCTGTCTTAAGCCCATTTATTGAGTCAATTATGCCCGTATAAGGGGATATGCGCGACAAAAAAAACACAAAATTTCTTGTTTTTCGTCATGATGGGTTTCTTGCACTTTTGGATACTTTGTCCATTTTTGTATTAGGAAAATAATAACTTTAAAGAGAAAATTTTTTTTTATGTGTTTAAATTATCATTTTTATGACCCTGTTAATTAAAAATAATCAATTTTTCTCAATCTTACACGCTCTCTATGAAAAGTTGTATGTCCCTCATCATATTGTATTTGGCATCAATGGAAAGCTGGATTTCTCCTTTATTTGATAATCTTAATGTCCATCATCTCGGAAACACCCAAAGCTTACAATCTACTTTGCAGTTTACCCAGATATGCTATTTTCGTGACCTACTTTTCGTTACTTTTGGCTGTTTTTCTCAGTTCGATAGTTTTTAACACTATAAAGCCTACTACTTTTTTATTTATTAAACAATCGCAACCATATTTTCAGTAATTGTTCTTCGTGCAAAAATACAACTTTTGTCACGAGGGAATTGTGATGGCTTACATAGAAAAAAAGTATTTGGTAATTAAATTGCAAATTTTGACAATTTTGAACACTAAAAATGGTACGATTTTGTAGACTTTGTAAAATTCTTACTAGTAGCTATTTCAAAAAGTTTTCGTGACAAAAGTTTTAATATATCCTGAAATATAAGCAGTTTAAATTTGATTGCTCTAGGTGCATAAATAAAAAAGCCTTAGCATTTTTAAAAGTACCAAAAAATTCAAAATGGCGGAGGTTTTTTCGGGTTTCCATGACAACCAAAAGTGTTTTCAACCCCTTTTTTGCTGTTTAATACTTACTTTTATATGCCAAACATGATAAAAGTATTCAAAATGCTTTAGATATTAAATTGTAAAAAATAGAAAAAAACATAGCATATCCCCTTAAAAAAGGTTTCCTGTCTAAAGCCCATTTCTCGAGTTTGTTTTTACCGAAAACGCACATCCGTCGCCTCACCATATCACACATTCAAAACAATGTTTAGATCTGGTAAAAGTTGAATAAAATGTTCTTCCCTGAAATAGAAATTCACAAAGAGGGAACTCACCAGACAAGGAGACCAGGATTACCACGCTGTCCAAGATCAGACCCATCTCTTTGTGTGGTCCACGTTCTGTAGCGTATTCTGTAATCATGGGGCGTTTTATACTGCAGTATATATATACATGGGGGTGGGGTGGTGATAATATGGTGGTGGGTGATAATATGGGGATGTGTGGTTACATGGGGGTGAGGTGATAACATGAGGGGGTGATACTATGGGGTGGTGTGGTTACATTGGGGTGGGGTGATAATATGAGGTGGATGATAATATGGGGTGGTGTGGTTACATTGGGGTGGGGTGATAATAAGGGTTGGGGTGGTTACATGGGGGTAGGGGTGATAATATGGGTTGGGGTGGTTACATGGGGGTGTGGTGCTCACATGAGGGGGTGATAATATGGTGTGGGGTGAAAAAGTGGGGTGGGGTGGTTACATGCGGTGGGGTGATAACATAAATAGAGTGAAGACTGATACAGGATCGCAACAGTGGTCAGAAACGCATCAAACATTTACGTTAAAATTGGAATTGACTGTCGCAGGACTACCATACAAAACACATTCACCAAAGAACAAGAGCAGTGACTCTTATCATTAACTTCAGCACTCGTGGTATAATTGTTTAAAAGAAAGCTTATCATGTGAGTACATCACAATCATACAACATCAGCATAAAACCTAACATACGCAACTACACAAAGTATTAAGTTAAACTAAAAATTCAATAACATTTTGTACTAAAAATTAGTTCTGAGCATTTACAGATTGCAAGTTATACACTTTGTAAAGCTATAAAACCATTTCAGTAATTGTTGTTGTTTTATAATAGATTTTAAAGAGGGCTTTTTTCCCTCTTTTCAGCATTCTTTGATTTGGGTTTGTTGTTAAATCCGTATTTTTTTTTTTAAATGAATGCCAAACTTACATTGAAACTATACTCGACATTGCTATTGAGTGATGTTTACTTTTTTATTGAACAGTTAAGTTTTTTTTGTTTGTTTTTGTTTGCTACTTATAAATTTTTAATTTTAAAAAAATGTGTAAGTTTGAAGATTTGATAATCCGTTTCATAAAGAGTCGGTTTCGCCCCTGTCTAAGCTGACAGGTTTAATTATTACATGACACACTATGTAATTAGTGTAACGACAGGAGATGGACGGCCAAGATTACAGGGACTGAGTTAATAATCTGAGGTTGCAGCTAGAGTAGTTTAAATTAAACTAGGTTGGTGTTTATTGGGGGGGGGGGGGGGGGGTTAATAAGGTGATGGTGACATAATGTGGTGAGATGATGTGGTGAGATGGTCTGGTGACATGGTATGGTGAGTTGATGTAGTGAGCTACGTGTTTACATGATGTTGGTGGTTGGTGTGGTGACCTGTTTGATGAGACGAGGTTGTAAAATTATATGATGAAGTTATGTGACGACATAACATAGCGTCATAAAATATCCACACCATCTCACCCCTCCCCCATCTACATCACCCTGCAACTACAACCACCTCTCACACACACCAACATCTGCAGCAGAGATTCACAAAGTTGTACCCCTCAACACACTCACACACATCACGTGGGAGGCAACCAATTAAAACAAACCCTCGCCCCGAATCAACCAATCAAATTACCGCTCTCCGAGACAAGCAAATTGCCCATTTCACGCTAAGTAATTTCTCCGAGCCATTCTCCGAGGCTAACCTCATTACACCTCGCCTCAATCCGGATTCCATGTCCTGTTTTGTCGAACCTTACCTCGTTTAGAGTTTCGATTTGGGGCGTCTATCTCTTTTTTACAAGACGATGCCGTGGCTTAATTTCTACGCCAAGATGCACATAGGTGGTATCGATTCTATCTGGAAATACTCGGTGTTGGTCAAAGTTCGATTACATCATCGACTCAGAAATATGCGGTTCTTTTATTCATTGTCAGCAAATTTTAGCTTGATAAACAAAAAGATGGGGGGGGGGGGGAGGAGGAGAAAGTAAGAGGAGGTTTAGTAATTATAAATTATTTTTAAAAGTTTGCTAAATTTAAAAAAAAAGGTATTAGAAATGACATCTAAAGGGATATTTACTACAGCTTTGTTTGAATTTGTTTTTTTTTAAATGGCGTTTACTCACAAGGTTCCAAGATACACATTCCGTTCTTGCGGTTACTTTTAAAAATTATTTTGTTAAACTAGTTTCTTCGTTCGGCCTACAGTTTATCGTAATGCTGATGATGATTAAATCAATTAGATACCAACGCAATTAATCAGTTTTGTCAAATTAATGAAGATTTTACAGGATTTTAAAAAATAAATGCGGGTCGGCGTGGTCGAGTCGGTGAAGCTAATGGTTGCTAAACCAAAAAGTCCCGAGTTTGATCCACCGGGCTGATTAGGCTCGATAGCTGAGGTCAGCAACCCATCTAGGAGAGACAACTCCATAATCCATTGTTTGTTCTTGGTTGGACAAAGGCTATGGAAGCAAATCCAGAAAATTCGGAGTCAACGGGCTATATAGCGCATAACAAATTGACACGTAATACTTCATTGTGTTGGAGAGAATCCCGTCCAATATATATCAATTGGGAACGAAGAAGAAGAGTATATACATAGATGACAACACACTGTGTACATTACGGTGTAAGGGAGCAAATGATAAACGAGTCTTATTTGATCTAATTTAACCGTTTGCGTCACTTAAACTATATATATATATATATATATATATATATATATATATATATATATATATATATATATATATTGTTGTTGTTGTTGCCTCAGACATGTAATTTATAGCGTCAGTTTGCCTCGCATATTCGCTTTAGTATTACAGTTTTCATCATCGGCTTGTGAGGACTGATACAGATTTACTATAGTAATACTTCTTTCTTACTTGCAGCCTACTTTCATTCATTTAAGATGGTTTACTTATACATAGATCTAATACAAAACATCTAATTGCAATTATAATTTTTATAAAAATAAAATACACCTGAAAATGCAAATATGTAATTAAATAATGATTACTTAAGGGATTTTTTTTTCCATAGCCCTAAACTTAACAGAAAACATCCACCAATTATTAAAGTGGTGAACATTTATTTCTATAACTGATAATTATTAATATAATTATTGTTTGGCTTATCAGACATAATTAAGGTATAAAATATAGGAAGTGCCAATATATGCCAACAAATCAAGTATACATGTATTAGACATTTGCATCGTTGCAAGTATCGAATCTACAAATCTACAGCACGAAATCGAGCCCCTTTCACACAACTCAAGTCTATAATTAGCCACGGAAAATGAGTTGTCTTTCTTGGCATTTATTGACATGTTCCAAAGTGACTAATTTTTTCCCCCTCTCTCGGTCGTCAGTTCCGCTTCGCCGGAAATTTCAGGGAATTTTATCATCGGGACATACGTCATAGGGGGCGTAGACCAGTATAAAAGTAGGATCTGGAAGAAACTCGCGAAAGAAACTTAAAACTTGTTCGAAGGATCGGCGCCTGCTATTTGGGCTAGGCATTACTGAAAGCATTTTGTGAAAGATTGTGCAACATCCAAAGTTTTTGAGATCCGGGCAACAATATTTCTAAAAGTCTGATTTTTTCTAACATTTCTTCAACGAGAATTTTAACCCATTTAGTTCTAATATCATATTCCTAAAAGAAACCTAAACAAGCCAAAAAAGGTAAAACATATTTTCATTCAATTTTTGTTTTATGTAAGTCACTTTGTATGTTACTGCTATTGAAACAGTGCACAGAACTTTAAAATAATGTTGTTTACAGCTCTCGTTTTTGGTGTTTTTTAAATTAAAATGTTACAATAATCAAGCAAAGATTCCTCTAAACACCTAGCGTAATTGCAATGTTTTAAGAGACAGACAAAAAAAAACCTACTATTCCAATAACCGATAAGGTTTCTCGAAAAAAAGCAAATTACTTTAGAAAAATCAAATATTTAAACTTGTAAAATATTCTGTTCCGATTTTCAATTTATGAAATAAAATGAAACAAAAGTGTATACACAAAAATCCTATCGGAGATGGCTTGCTACTGAGAATCAAATGGAGATATTGTCGAGATAAACAATTTTTTTTATAGTAGTGACAACAACACGAATTTCCGGTTGCAGAGCCAGGTTGTAACTTAAATGGAGATATTATCGAGATAAACAATTTTCTATAGTAGTTTTCTGCATATTTTAAATACCACTATCAGATCTACGGAGCTTTTACTGTGAGCATGTCAACGCTGCTCCACAGCAAAAATTTACGACATATGCCAGAAAAAGCTACCTGCTTTTCAGTTAGGTGGAGTCGAGATGATGTTTCGGGGTTCGAACAATCGTCCCATTATTCGAACATGTTTCTGGCTTTCGTAAACGTTTACTCTGATCACAAACACTACTAGATCTAGAAAAAATGTTGTCTGATTTTAAACACAGTCATAGAAGATTTTTTTTGGTTTTGCCAAACAATACGATCAAACTAACAAAACAAAAAACACGATTATGGGACGGCGTTGCTTAGCGATAGAGAGCTAGACTGCTAACCCGAGAGTCTTGAGTTCGAATCCGGGTTCAAATCAGTGCAACTTCCCTGAGTCCACCCAGCTCTGATGGGTACCTAACTCACGTTAGGGAAAGTAAAGGCGGCTGGGCATAGTACCGACCATACTATCCTTTCATATGCCGATTTACATGAATCAGATGAACTCTACTTCATCTGCCCCATGTGTCTTAGGCACGAACGGGATTGATAAGAAGAGAGAAGAAACGATGCGGTTACATTTTTAATGTAACGCACCTGCTAGGGGCAATTTACCTACTTATTTTTAGAAATAAAAGTAGGAAGTCTGTTTGGCTTAACAAATTAGGAAGTCTCAATTCACTTGACTAGCCCAAAAAATAAGGGCGACAACTTTATTTCCCCAGAATGAGGAAGACAGCTTCTTTCTTCCTCCTCGTCTCCTCTATGCTCATCCTCATCCACGGCGCACGTGCACAGCACATGATGTCCGCAGCACAGTTTGTACCGGCCATGACGGAGTCACACGCTGCTCACCTGCACGACTGCAAGGTAAGCTTAGGTGATGTCCGGAAGTTCTTTTTTTCCCCGAGGTCGTTCATCCAGAGTTTCTTCCAGGCATCTCTGAAAAAATTCTACCGCCCCCCGAACGAAATGAAATTTATATAATTGATATAGAAAATATATACTTTTAACAGTGTCTGCCCCCCCCCCCCCCCGAAGAAAGTCTACCGCCCCCCCCCCTCAAAAAAATTTTTCAAGTGCCTGCCCCCCCCCCCCCCCCCGGAGAAAAAAGTCTGGAAGAAACACTGCGTTCATCCGCTTCTCCAACCCCTGCAATCAAATAACGACACGCATTTCCGAACTCCCCCCCCCCCCCCGCTTTACCATTTCACGCCACATCCTTTCTTTTTAAAAAAATTGTTTTAACGAAAAATCAATGCTTTACTATATTTTTAATCAAAATCAAAATATAATCTACACTCTATTTGTTATTTTAATGAAGCGCGAACCCTTCATGAGCGGCTTTGAAGAGGCGGCAAAGGGGCTTGTAAGTAGGTCACAACTTCTCGTTCTCGTACTTGCTAGCTAGTAGATTTCGAGACCGTAGACTTACAAGCCCTATTAGATTACATAATTTGTTATATTACCTAAACCATGTTACATATTTTATTAACGACCAGTGCTTTTATTAAAAAAAAAACATTAGATTTTACCTTCTTACTTTTGGTGCATTTAGAAGCATGTCATAAAAATATTAAACAAGTTTTCTATACAATTTTAAACCAACCAACTGAAGGCAGAGACAAGGACGGTGATGTACGACTCGAGAAAGCTGCAAGACACGGCCCTCAATATCTGCTCCATCAGGACGGACGCTTCCGATGACGGCCCGGCCAGAGAATCACGTGATGTAAACAGACCAATCAGAGGGCAGCTGAATTTAGATCGCCGCTATAATAATAAAGCTATGACGCGTGACAGTGCTCTACGAGAAATGACACGTGACAATGACGCTAGGAGAGAAATGACACGTGATAATGACGCTAGGAGAGAAATGACACGTGATAATGACACTAGGAGAGAAATGACACGTGATGATGATGCAAGGAGAGGAATGACACGTGACAATGACGCAAGGAGAGAAATGACACGTGACAATGAAGCAAGGAGAGAAATGACACGTGATAAGGACGCAAGGAGAGAAATGACACGTGACAATGACGCAAGGAGAGAAATGACACGTGATAGCGCTACACGTGAAATGACACGTGGTAATGATGCTAGGAGAGACATGATACGTGACAATGACGCAAGGAGAGAAATGACACGTGATAATGACGCTAGGAGAGAAATGACACGTGATAATGACGCTAGGAGAGAAATGACACGTGATGATGATGCAAGGAGAGAAATGACACGTGATAATGACGCTAGGAGAGAAATGACACGTGATAATGACGCTAGGAGAGAAATGACACGTGATAATGACGCTAGGAGAGAAATGACACGTGATGATGAAGCAAGGAGAGAAATGACACGTGATAGCGCTAGAAGAGAAATGACACGTGATAATGACGCCAGACGAGAAATGACACGTGACAATGACGCTAGACGAGAAATGACACGTGATAATGACGCAAGGAGAGAAATGACACGTGATAGCGCTAGACGTGAAATGACACGTGGTAATGATGCAAGGAGAGAAATGACACGTGACAATGATTCTAGGAGAGAAATGACACGTGATAATGACGCAAGAAGAGAAATGACACGTGACAATGACGCTAGACGAGAAATGACACGTGACAATGATGCAAGGAGAGAAATGACACGTGATAATGGCGCAAGGAGAGAAATGACACGTGACAATGACGCAAGGAGAGAAATGACACGTGACAATGACGCAAGGAGAGAAATGACACGTGATAGCGCTAGACGAGAAATGACACGTGACAATGTCGCAAGGAGAGAAATGACACGTGATAATGAAGCAAGGAGAGAAATGACACGTGACAATGATGCAAGGAGAGAAATGACAAGTGATAATGAAGCAAGGAGAGAAATGACACGTGACAATGACGCAAGGAGAGAAATGACACGTGATAGCGCTAGAAGAGAAATGACACGTGATAATGACGCTAGACGAGAAATGACACGTGACAATGACGCTAGGAGAGAAATGACACGTGACAATGACGCTAGGAGAGAAATGACACGTGACAATGTCGCAAGGAGAGAAATGACACGTGATAGCGCTAGAAGAGAAATGACACGTGATAATGACGCTAGACGAGAAATGACACGTGACAATGACGCTAGGAGAGAAATGACACGTGATAATGAAGCAACGAGAGAAATGACACATGACAATGTCGCAAGGAGAGAAATGACACGTGATAATAAAACAAGGAGAGAAATGACACGTGACAATGATGCAAGGAGAGAAATGACACGTGATAATGACGCAAGGAGAGAAATGACACGTGACAATGACGCAAGGAGAGAAAGGACACGTGATAATGAAGCAAGGAGAGAAATGTCACGTGACAATGACGCAAGGAGAGAAATGACACGTGATAGCGCTAGAAGAGAAATGACACGTGATAATGACGCTAGACGAGAAATGACACGTGACAATGACGCTAGGAGAGAAATGACACGTGACAATGACGCTAGGAGAGAAATGACACGTGATAATGAAGCAAGGAGAGAAATGACACGTGACAATGTCGCAAGGAGAGAAATGACACGTGATAATGACGCTAAACGAGAAATGACACGTGATAATGAAGCAAGGAGAGAAATAACACGTGATAATGACGCAAGGAGAGAAATGGCACGTGACAATGACGCAAGGAGAGAAATGACACGTGATAATGACGCTAAACGAGAAATGACACGTGATAATGAAGCAAGGAGAGAAATGACACGTGATAATGACGCAAGGAGAGAAATGACACGTGATAATGACGCAAGGAGAGAAATGACCCGTGACAGTGACGCAAGGAGAGAAATGACACGTGATAGCGCTAGACGAGAAATGACACGTGATAATGAAGCAAGGAGAGAAATGACACGTGACAATGACTTAAGGAGAGAAATGACACGTGATAGCGCTAGAAGAGAAATGACACGTGACAATGACGCTAGGAGAGAAATGGCACGTGATAATGAAGCAAGGAGAGAAATGACACGTGATAGCGTTAGAAGAGAAATAACACGTGATAATGAAGCAAGGAGAGAAATGACACGTGATAGCACTAGACAAGAAATGACACGTGACAATGATGCTAGGCGAGAAATGACACGTGACAATGACGCAAGAAGAGAAATGACTCGTGATAGCGCTAGACGAGAAATGACAAGTGAAAATGACGCCAGAAGAGAAACGACACGTAACAATGACGCAAGGAGAGAAATGACACATGACAATGACGCTAGACGGGAAATGACACGTGTCGCACACATCAAAGCAACGGAATACAAACAGTTGACAAATGAGAAGTCGACATCCGGGGCCTTGTTATACGGGACAGCAGCACACCACCACACCACAAACCACAGCAACATCAAACACCAGCCAAGCGTTATGGCCTACTTGACCACATACATCAGCAAGACTATCAGGTATGATCGAGATTTTCGTAACACCCTCAACCCCCTGACCTCCGTTACCTCTCGACCTAGTTAAAGCCGAATATAAACCTAGCCTTAACTTCTGGGAACATTTTCTGAAAATATTGAATGAGGCACAGGAATAGGACTTTTTACTTACCCTTCCCACCGCATACAACGTTTGTATTGTTTCTTAGAACACCAATTTTTATTGTCTATAACTATAACATATATAGGAGCCTACACTCCAACCCTTATAACCCCCCCCCCCCTTTTTCCCCCAACCTCTGCTGTAAAGCCTAATATTGGTTTGAAAAAGAATGTGAATAACGTTTGCGGAAGGCACTGATTGAAGAAATCAGACAGTATGATACAAAATTCTCTATATCTCACCCTAATAGAACACCGTGGTAAATCACGTTTAGCCCCCATTGTGTTATAATAATGTGCCTAATTACGTGTGTAGTCTCAAGCAAGCTTATTAAATCTGCCAATTCGTAAACAATATTGTGCAATTCAGTTTTAAAAAGTTTAAGGGGAAGTAATTTTAAAATTTATATCCTGAATTTAATGTAGTTGCTTCCCTTTTGATGTTTTTATTAATAACTGATGTATAACTGGATGTATTAATCAGAGAGTATTCTACATATAACTATATATAACTGAATATATATATATATATATATATATATATATATATATATATATATATATATATATATATATATATATATATATATATATATATATATATATATATATATATATATATATATATATTGTATTTCTCGCCAGAAGCTCCGACTTGGCAACTTTCTTAAAGACAGGAGCTATTGGAGTAATTGGCCTTTCTGGACTGGTTATGACGTCATCTCCATTTTCCAGTAAATTGGCAAGACAGTACTAACCCTAAACCCACACTCCCCCCACACTACCACTGACCTGGCTACGACTATACACTACCAAACAAGACCACACAAAAACAGATTGTTTTAGTTGTTAGACTTCTAATTAGTCAGACACAATTCATTTGGCAGGTTTTTTTTGCTTCGTTTTATTTTTCATGTAGCCAAAACTATTTCGAAATTAAAATTTTCTATTTTATTCTGTTGTTGAAATGGCATTGTTAAAATAAAGAAATGTTGTTATTGGAGAAGATTCGTGTCTGTTTTAAAAATTACTATGTATAAGTAGCATTTTAATTTATACTGGATGTAGAAATCCCAGACAGACATCCATAAAATTAACAGATAACCAGATGTCATGTCATGTTTAACGTGTGGTTTCTTTGTTTTACAAGATGGTATTGTTAATTTAAAAAAAAAAATGATTACAAGTGCCATTATATTTTAACTGGACTTAATTCCATTCACGCAGTTAAAATTTGCGTCAGATAAAGAGTGAGTCACTAGCTAAAAAAAAATTAAAAGTATCTCAGTCTCGCTACGTCAGATGTTCCTCAGATGTAGAGTTCTCCTTTCAAACCTGGCGGTCTTTGTGGCAGGTGAAGTAGAGTTCACCTGTTTCAGTGAGCTCGGCAAGTGTGGTCAGCACTTTACCCAGCTATAAAAGAACATTTGAATTTAACCCTTAATGACACGTATGTGTGTAATGAGCCCTATCCTATATATATATATATGGGCGTCACTTTGGATCGCAAGTTCCTCTTAACAAAGCATGTGCGTGGTGTATTTTCGTGGTTTGATAAAGTCTTTTATTCGCGACTCGCCAAGTTGGCCTCTGCTTAAGGACTGCTGATTTATCTTTGGCGGAGTCTGTCATTGACTATTCAGCCCCTGTTTTGCTATTGACTTCGCGGACTGTATTGGGTGACCTTTTTGTGCGACATCGACAGTCAGGACGTTTTATTTCTGGACCTGGGGGGAGGGGGGGGCGACATCGGACATTGTTAACAGCATGATGGCATCGGTTGAGCCCTTGGACATCTCTCTTCAGAGAGCTATGACATCATCATACGAGCGATACCGGAAGTAACCACTTTACAGACCCGGTGAGAAAAATGGTTGATAACTGGCCAACTCTAGAGCATCTTTTGTCCCGCCTCAATAAACGAAGATGGGTTGAACAAGAAGAGTTATCTATTATCATTACATTCAAGACCTCTGCCTTATTGTCGGCAGCCAATTTGTCACCTTCCTGTTTATCCACTATGTGTGGTGTTAGACCTGCCACTGGTATTTACTAGTCACTCGTTAGCACACTTGGTGAACTTTGGGCTGACTTCTTGACACGTAGCTGGCCACAGGGTGCAATCAAATCTCCATCTTACGTCATGTTACAGTTGCCAGGGAAGCTTTTGTAAAGTAAAAATTTTACTCAAACCAGTTGCCAGACAAGCCTGCCGGCATTTTCAACAAGAGAATTACGGTTTGTTTTTTTGTTTGTTTTTGGTTATATTCCGACGTAAAGGTTGTAATTTAAGTAACACAAAACCAAACATTAGCTAAAGACATCTAAACCGGCTCGACCTTTAAACAAATTAATGGAAGTTTTGTTGTTCAATTATACATATGTCCATCTGATACTGATACCGATAACAAAGTATTTCAACATTCTGTGGTTTTTGTGGTTAGCTGCTAAACCCCCCCCCCCCCCCTTTGTTTTAGTTTTTTTTAAATGAATGTATTCTCTTTCAGCTTCGTATTTCATTATTTCGCAAGCTAACATTTAACCTAGCGACAGTGACAGACATCTCGATTTCATGAGAGGACTCGTGTTTTGTCTGCCCTTGAATACATTTATGTAAAAGATTATGACGCCACAATATCTTCCCCCCCCCCCCCCCTCGAAAACCCAGACCATCTCACTTTTCTTGAAAACAACGTCGTGTTAAAAAAATAGTGTAAAGAAGCATTACGAAGAGGATTAAATGGGGATCATTAAAGATTGATAAAAGGGTTAATCGTGAACATTTATAAAATAGGCTACAGCGACCAAGAGGAGACATATCAATAATAATCTAAAGTTAAACAAGGAACATGTATACAATACTGAAGGACATATAAGAAATATTTATGCAGGACCAACGGACAGATATGGACCATCGGAGTTTGGGGACCAAGGATCAAAAGGACGGTAACAGATGGGTGGATTCTTACAAGGCAGAGACATGGATAGAATTATACAAAAAGCTTGTAAAAAGACCAAAGGGACGCATTGATACACAGTGGCGTAGCGAGGGATGGGGGCGGGGGTTGTGGACCGCACCTGGTGACACCATTTAGGGGGGGGGTGACACCAAGGCAAAAAATAGCAAAAAATTTATAGAGGAAAATGATAATTCCACTTAATTAAGTGATTAATTGGAGTGTTAAATAGTCTTTTAAGAGCAAATTTGACAAATCCCGACAAGGGTGGAGGGGGGGGGTGCAAATCGAAATTTGAAAGGTTAACCCAGAGAGCGCGCCAAATGGAAAATTTTTACCCGGGCGCCGGGAAGGTTCGCTACGCCTCTGGGAGGGTGACACCATTAAGTGCCGCACCGGGTGACACCCGACCTCGCTACGCCACTGTTGTTACATAAGTAAAAGGATCAAATGGATATTGGTTGCTGCAAATGCCACAGAGGTCACACAACTTTCTAAAGACCCCACAGAGGTCAATTATTTTCTACAGACTCCCCCCCCCCACCCCTTCAGAAGTCACACAACTTTTTATAGACACCACAGTCACTTAACTTTACAGAACCCCCCCCCCCCCACACACACACACACCCTACAGAGGACACACAACTTTCTACAGACCCCCCTCCCACTCCATTCAGACAACTTACTGCCAACACCTCAGAGGTCACCCATCTTCCTACAGACGTTCCATACTACTGTAATCAGCCACGAAGGCTTGTACTGTAGCGTCCCACAAACCCGCCACGTCAATACCGCTGACTCAGCATCCCATTGTCTTTACCACATTTGTTTTAGGCACAAAATAAAACTTTTATTCCCAGACGTTCCAGAGTATTCCAGACGTGATTCGATCCCAGGTCTTATGTAACTAGGTTACTGGGCGACAATTTGATTGATTCGTTTTTTTAAATATACTCGATACATGATTTAATTTTTGCTTCACGTTGCCGGCAGACGTATCGATGGGGGTCAAGGACGTATGATGTCACCCATACAAATGGTTCACCTCCTGACCTACTTTCGGATTTAAATACAGAGCTAGCATAGTAATTTTCGTAAAAAAAAAAAGAGTCCGGAAATTTTAGCTGAAAAGATTATTTTAAAATAGTTTACATTTTTTTTCTGTTGAGTTGAGTTTTACGAATTAGTCCCCCCCCCCCCCCCCCCCCCGAAAATCCGAAAATATCAAGTGCTACCCCGGAGAAAAAAAAGTCTGGAAGAAACACTTACTAGTCCTTAGTAAACCACTAAAAGTAGTAAAACTGCTGGTTTCATAGATGAGGACTCAGTGTTCGAGTTTAGTACAAACATTGTATTGACTTTCAGTATGAGGACTGTCGCATTTCCACAGTGTTGGGGGTAATCTAATATATAAAGCTCAGTTCTGTATGTAATGCATTTGTATGTCGTTGGAATTGTACGATTTTAAGTGTTAGAAAAATTATCGTGCGCATTTGTCTAAATTTATGAGCTAAAAAATTACTATTGAAAGTGTTGGGAAATAATTTTCATTTTTCAAATTATAGTAATAATTGTCGGCATGTTCATTAA